CATGTCCAGAACTCATTCTCCCAGCTGCCTCTTAGCTCAACCTCCCTTCTCACCAAGACTCACTTACCTCCCAGATGCACATGAGCTTTGATTGCCCATTCCTGCTTTTAAGGAGTCCCGATTCCTCCGCCTGGCGCCCAATCTGCCTCCTTGCTGCCGGTGCCCAGGGTAGGCACAGTGCCTTTTCTATTGGCACCAGATTGCTTTTCTTCCATGTTAGTTGGTCATTGCCACTCTGGGTAATGTATTTTAATGAATTGTTATTTGCTGGACATGGACCCAGAGGACTTTTTATTGCAGAGGGCCCCATCTCAGAAGCCTTAATAAATAACACTCTATTCGAATCATACCTGCCATTTGGTAAGGGAGGGGTCTCTTCTCATCGAATCATTGCCAAGGAAAGGGGTCTCTTGCAGTCACTTCAGCTGTCACCTTCTATTCTTCATGGTTCAGCCATCTGTCCTGATGTCTACAGAAGTGAAATCTGCTCCCATTAGGAAAGGTGGGGTTGCTGGTGATCGTGGTGTCCTTAATCTCATTCTGAGTTGATCACCTGGGTCTGAGTTTCCTGCGTATGGGCCCAGACGCCCAGAAGAGTTTGTTAAAATGCTGATTCTTGACTCTGCTTCAATCCTCTGGCTAGATATTTGGATTAGGGTCCTGGAACCTAATTTTAAACAAGTTCTTGAAGAGGTTCTTATGAAATTCAAAATGAGAAAGCAGCTACCCTAAAACCATATAACCATAGCATGACTTATGTATTCATTTTTTATGTTCTGCTTTGAGCATGCTAGATGGATACACCTTGCTTTTCCTACAGCCTGGTCTACCCCATGCTTGTAGCACTGCACACACCTGTGTACGACACACTGCTGGGAGGGTGCCTTAGGGAGCAGTCCTCATCCAACTCAGCTAGGGATTTTCCTTCGATCTTTCCAAAAGCATGACTCGCACATTTGGATCCTGGCTGTGGCGGAAGAAGGGCTCCTTGGTGCATGCAGTTAGCTCAGTGTAAAGGGCGGAGTCCAGGGCTGGGATGAGCAGGGAGACATAGACAAAGCAAATGGGCCCTTGAGGACATTCTGGACTCTTAGCTTCCCCAGAGAAGTGGACAGTGAGATGGCCCATGGGATAGGATTTCCAGGATGGGCTGGGCTATGGCGTGGAGCTCACCATTTTGTGCTGCCTCTGGCCTGTGTTTCTGCACAGTTAGTCCTCCTATCCATTGTCACCTGGGCCAGTGATTCCCCACCAGCCAGACTCCTCACTTTGTCCCATGCCCCGTCCCTCTGAGTGAACAGATCCTCTCAGCCCAGGTGGCTTTGTCTGAGCTGGCTGGTCCTCTGGAGGCTGCTGGGCCTTGGATGAGATGGCTCTGGTAGCTCCTCAGCTAGAGAGCTGTAAAGCCATCTCCGCCTAGCACCTAGAAGTTTTCTGTGCTCTCCTCCCCCACTGAATTTCACTTCTTTCCTCTTTCTGCTCGCCTCTCTCTTTTGCCCTTCCTGTCTTGATAGATTGAAACCAATAGTATATTCCGGCTTCTTGTGGTCCCGGTAAATAGCTCTTAATGTGGCCATGCTGCGTGGGGAGGAGGGAGTGGTAAGACTGTGTGTACTAGGGACTGGGGGTGTTGGGGACACTTACCTTCATCTGCTTAAGAGGAGGAGGCGTTTGTGCTCTACAGGTCATGCCCCAATGCCAGGGTTCAGCAGAACCTTCCCAGGGGGCCAGACAGACCTGAGTGTCCTTGATTCTGCCCTTGATTCAAAGAGGAGGACAATTCAATGAGGGTCAGAGTGGCCTGGGACCTGTGCTCCTTGTGGCTGGCACGAGCCCCTGGCCTCTTCTATGAGGATAGCAAGAGAGATTTCATTTGTCCTTAGCAAACAGGATTTAATTAAGCAATTTACACATCTTTGATTTTCTTACAAGGTCTTAGTGTCTTGGCAGTTATTGTTCCTGATATTGCTGCAAACAGGAGCCCACGTGGGGATAAATTACATAGCAAAACAAGTTTAATATTGATGTTTTCAAAATCAGTGAAGAGCGAGGCCTGGCCAGAAGGGGCAAGGAAAGGCCAGGATGTCAGGTGGTGGGAATCAGTGCGAGTTCTCCCACCTGCCTTGGGGACACAGTCTGCGCTGTCTTGATGAAAGGTCTTTTACGAACTCTAGGCAGATGCTGAAGGGCCTGGATGCTCTCAGGTAGGGTTCACACCCAGGGGCTGTCGTGTCCTGCCTGTCAAGGTGTGAGTCTGCTGTGCAGGGCAGCTTTGGCATACAGAGGATGGAGGGCAGTGCTGGCTGGGGGAACACACTGGCATCTCGCAGTGTAGCCTGCCAAGGGGGCCTGCAGCCTTCCAGACCCAGTGAGAAGGAAAGCCAGCTCTTCAGTTTCTGCTTACTGGTTCGAGGGGGGCTCCATTCTCCGGGATCAGCCCCAGAAATCGGGTGGATGACAGCTTCTTGTATGTGACCCTTTTCCTCACTGGAAACAGCCAGCAGGGGTCTTTTCTTTTTGGTGCAGCAAGGAGCCCAGTGCCGGAGGGACAGGGCACGGAGGGCAGTCTCTTTCTCATTCTGCAGCTTGGACCCCCTTGGAAACAATGACAGGGGAGTGGGGAGGGGCAGCTGTGCCTGGACTTGCATCTTGGATGCTTTTAGGAGTCTGGGCACAGGGCAGGTTGGTGAGGATTCAGAAGGCATCTCAGCCAAACTCCCTTCCACTTCAGACCAGCCCCCAGCCCTGTGCACCTTGGCTGCCTGGCAACTCGGGCCCCGTGTCACTTGGGGCTGGTTACTGGCTGAGGTCCGGAAACCTCAGAGAAATCTGGGGACAGAGACAGTTCCAGAGAACTCATTGAATGGGCAAAGCCCCCCGCCCCCATGGTGTGTGTAGGGTGATGCATGTGCCTGGTCAGGCATCTCTGTGTTGGCTTTTGGGTGATGAAAGTTGGCTGGTTTTGGCGTGTGTGTGTGTGCTGATCAGGACATTCCTGTTTTGTGGTCGTCGGATCACTTGTTTTTGGCCATGGGCTTCTGTAGGAGGGTTTATTTTTAGTGGCTATCACTTCTGGCCTGAGGGTTGAACCTTGGACACAGCAGAAACATTTGCATTTTCTGAAATGTTTGTGGCTTTAAATTTAAATATTTATTTTGGAGTATTCTTGCCTTTTATGTGTTTATTCAACTCTGTGTTCATGTGCGTGTGTATTAGGAGAGAAGTGTAGCGTAATATAAATTTCATGGTCTTTGAAGTAAATTAGTTCTGATTTTAAGGCCCGGCTTTCCCAGGTACCATGTATTTACAAGTGAATTGTTCTGGCTCCAAGAGCCTTGTTTTTCCAACTCTTCATGGGCATAATTCCACTTGCCTTGAAGGGTTGAAATCTTGTGTGTGCAGTGCCTGTGTTGAGGTGTGCACTCACAGTAGCGGTTACTGGTGTTTACACAAATATCCATGCCTGTGCTTTCTCCCGGTGGCTCTTGGTATTGTGTGGGGACCTAGTGAGCACAAGTCTGGGTGTTTTTGATTTGGGTAGTTCCTGGTTGGCATGGTCTCTGGCTGTCTTTGTGTCTCGTTCTGTGTGTTACTGCTGGTAGCTGGCTGGAGTTGGGTTTTTTTTCCTGCCAACTGGGGGGCCTGGATTGGAGTGAGAGGAGGTGCTTGTGTGTGCGTGTGCGTGCATGTGTGCTTGTGTGAGTGTGTGTTGGGCCTGGAGGCTGGGCTGTTGACTGTACAGGGTGTGAAGTCACAGAACTCCTCTGGGCGGGGAAGTTCTTGTTCCTGAGTCAGCCCTCTGGCCCCCAGCCACCCAGCACTCACTTTTTCCTTTCAGAGAAAGTGTTGCCTCCCCCACTGCCCTGGGCCCTGAGCCCCTGCCCCAGCACCCTACGTGGTCTCCTCTGGCACAAGGATTGCAGGCTTTGCTGGACTCTGTCTCTATTCAGCCCTTCAGGGGTCCTCAGAGGGATCTGGATGCTCCTTTTGGGGGGCCTGCTGCAGTCCTGTCTGACTCACCCTCCCTTGACTAGTTCTCATTCCTTGGAAGTTTAAGTGGTATGAGATGACCTTGTTGGTTGGGGGCAGGGTCCACAAGGAGGGGACAGTGCTGGGGGAGCAACTGGGGGAAACTTCTGGAAATGCAAAAAGGACATTGTCTGTCTGAACAGTTCTAGCAAATTGTTTGCATGGAACCAGACTCGGCTGTGAAGGCTGGAAGACAAGTCTATCTTAGCAAGTCCCAGCTCTGCCTTCACCTTCCTCCTGCACCTTGGGCATGGGAGACCCCTCTCTGTACCTCTATTATACCTAGGCTGTTTTCTCCCCGCTTTCTTGTGCAGACTGGCTGCCGGGAGGGGCTGGATCTCCATGCTTATACCTGTACAAGCACTTACAGCAAAGCCTAGTACTTTGTCTCAAGTATAGAGCAGGAATTCTAGGAAGTGAGATGGAGCCGTGGAGGAGGCCAATTATGCTTTGTATATTACCCTTCAGGAGTTAATGATATTCATAATGGCAATGATTATGGCTCCCAAACGCTAACCTTTCACCATGCACTGGTATAAACATATGACTTCCGTCAGTTCATTTCAGCTGAAAGTGCTGTGTATTCAGCAAATACTGGAAATTTCATGTGGTGCAGCCCGGTGCTGGTATTGTCCCTGTTGTACAGGTGAAGACACTGAGGTCCAGAGTGCCTCTGTGGTTGGGGAAGCTAGTGAAATGCTAGAGCTGGCTTGGGACATGAACAGTTTGCCATTAGGACCCCTTGCTCAGTCCTAGGTATAGCTTCCTACCCTCGAAGCTGGGTGTTGGTGAGAGCTGCACCTGAAAGACCAGGGAGGTGTTCTCTGTCCTTTCCCTACGCCTCTCCTTGCAGGGGCAGGAGCAGGTTTGGAGATCCGGGGAAGAGGTGCTCTTAGCTCTTCTTTATGGGATAGTAGCCAGTATTCCTGCCTCCACTGATACCTGCTATTTCCCTTTCTCTGTCCTTGCAGAGGTAGTGGGACACACCCAGGGGCCACTGGATGGGAGCCTGTATGCCAAGGTGAAGAAGAAGGACTCCCTGAACGGCAGCACTGGGGCCATCAATGCGGCACGTCCCGCCCTATCAGCCACTCCCAATCACGTGGAGCACACACTCTCCGTGAGCAGTGACTCAGGCAACTCCACAGCCTCCACCAAGACTGACAAGACAGATGAGACTGCGCCTGGGGCCTCTGGTGCCCCTGCTTCCTTGAGCCCTGAGGAGAAGCGGGAGCTGGATCGCCTGCTCAGTGGCTTTGGTTTAGAGCGAGAGAAACAAGGTGCCATGTACCACGCCCAGCACCTCAGGCCCCGCCCGGCAGGAGGTCCAGCCATGTCGTCCTCTGGCCGCCACGTTGTCCCAGCCCAGGTTCACATCAATGGCAGGGCCTTGGCATCTGAGCGGGAGACAGACATCCTGGATGATGAGCTGCCCAACCAAGATGGGCACAGCGTGGGCAGCATGGGCACCTTGTCCTCCCTGGATGGGGTCACCAACACCAGTGAGGGGAACTACCCAGAGGCTCTGCCCCCACTGACCAATGGCCTGGACAAATCCTACCCAGTGGAGCCACTGGTCAATGGTGGAGGCTACCCTTATGAGTCTGCCAGCAGGGCAGGGCCTGCCCAGGCCAGCCATGTGGTCCCTTTGCGGCCCTCCTACTCTGCGCAGGAAGGTTTAGCCGGCTACCAGCGTGGGGGGCCCCTCCCAGCCTGGTTGCAGCCAGCGACCACCTCCCACTATAGCCATGACCCCAGTGGCCTCTTCCGCTCTCAGTCCTTTCCAGATGCCGAGCCCCAGCTGCCCCTGGCTCCAGCCCGTGGTGGCAGCAGTCGGGAGGCCGTACAGAGGGGGCTGAATTCATGGCAGCAGCAACAGCCTCGCCCCCCTCCGCGGCAGCAGGAAAGAGCCCAAGTGGAGAGTCTGGCGAGCAGCAGGCCCAGCCCCCAGCCTTTGGCAGAGCCCCCCATGCCTGCTCTCCCAGAGTTCCCAAGAGCAGCCTCCCAGCAGGAGATTGAGCAGTCCATTGAAGCCCTCAACATGCTCATGCTGGACCTGGAGCCAACCTCGGCTGGCACCCCGCTGCACAAGTCCCAAAGTGTCCCGGGGGCCTGGCCAGGGGCTTCTCCACTCTCCTCTCAGCCCCCTGCAGGCTCTTCCCACCAGTCCCACCCACTGACCCAGTCCAGGTCTGGCTACATCCCCAGTGGGCATTCCTTAGGAACCCCTGAGCCGGTCCCCACTGGCAGGTCCTACTCACCTTATGATTATCAGCCATGTCCGGCTGGGCCCAACCAGGATTTCCGTCCCAAGAGCCCAGCTTCCACCTCCTCAACTGCCTTCCTCCCAAATGCTCATGCCCCTCCAGGGCCTCAGCAGCCCCCAGCCTCTCTCCCTGGCCTCACCACTCAGCCTCAGCTCCCACCAAAGGAAGCGACTTCAGAGCCTTCCCGAACTCCAGAAGAGGAACCATTGAACCTGGAAGGGCTGGTAGCCCACCGGGTGGCAGGTAAGAGCCTTGGGGACCATCAGATTGGAGCATGTCCTGTGTACTCCCTCCACCCCTTCCCTCTTCAGTCTTGGTGGTCTTGCTGGGGGGCAGTACAGGCCTAGAGATGGTCCTCTGGCAGATGCTGCTTGGTCTGTGGCCTGTTACACACCAAGCTGGGTTCAAAGATTATCAATTCCTACCCTTTGGAGTTTACAATCTAGTTAGAGGGTGGGAGTGTAGACAGAGAATTTTAACAGAGAGCAAAGTGTGCTCTGACGGAAGTGAGACTGAGGCCCAGAAGTGGGACTGAGTGGGAAAGCAGAGCTTATTATCTAGGGCAATCAGAGAAAGCTTCCCAGGGGTGGTGACTTTGGGGCTGGAGTAGACTTTCTAGGCACAGAGGAGATCCTACAACTGCCTGCTACACTTGTCCTCAGCCTGCAGTCCTTGGGGCAGGAGTGGAGAAGGTTGGTGGGAAGACTGTGGGTTTAGTTTCCCTCTTGGGCCCATTCTGAGGCTATAACACAGGCTGAGAGGTTTTCCTAAAGCTCTTGGGCTTTAAGTGTTTTGACATGATGGGGCCTTTTGGCCTGGCCAACCATCCAGATAATCCTTGCTTAGAACCAGCTGTGTGTGTGAAACAAAGTTCCTCTTCCTATCAGAGCAAATCTGGAGAGATCTGCAGAGAAGAGTGTGGGATAGTCAAAGAACCTATTAGGAAGAAACAGGCCTGAAGTAGCAAGACTCCTAGGTCTGATTGTGTTATGAGGCGAAGCACAGGCAGCGGAGCCCAGAACTGTAGGGTCAGGTGGGCCCTGTGCCCAGCCTTCAGCTGCCAGGGTGGCAGCAGGCGCTCAGGGAAGACGAGGAGCCTGAGCAGCTGGCTCTGCCCTCCACCCTTTTCCTAAATTTAGGGGAAGCTGAGTCACCATGCCAGCTGCACAGAGAGAGGGAGACGCCCTTCTTGGGGATGGACCATGGCTTTGGGGAAGCAGCTTGGGACAGGCAGGCTGTGAGGTTGGGCCCAGGACTGGGTGCAGTAGCAGAGGCTTCAGAAGGAGAACCCCTTGTTCCACTCTTGGTAGTCTGCAGTTGGCCACAATGGAAGTCTTTCCACCATGGAACTTGGCAGCCACAGCTTCCCCTCCCTGAAGAGCTAGTCTAGACTTCATTATAGTATTGCTTTACCTGAGCATGGAAACAAGACGCACAGCTGTGTAACCCCGGGGTGAAATGTACTGTGGGGTGATCCAGATGGGATTTGGACTTCTGCTTTCTACTGCATCTGGGGTCTGACATAAAGATATCTCCCTGGTTGCTTTGTCAGCAGAAACCTCTTTCCTCCTGGTTTTATTGAAGAGAGAGGAATGGGGCCCCCCAAATTCACTAGAAATGTAATTCCAGAGTTGAAGAGGCAGCCTGAAGAATAATGACATTCTAGTGTAGCAATGAAGAAGCTGGAACATAAGCTTCAGTATGAGTAACCTGGGAAGCTCAGATCTGAGGGTGACCAGAAAGAGATTCTGGTCACAAACTTAATCTGGTTTCTTTTGGCTTTTACCCATTAAGTCTTTTTTTCTTGTTGGTTGTTCTTGGTACCTCAGTACTGTGTCCCTAGTTCATTCCACTTTGATCCAACCCCTCCTCATGTCTTATTTCAACTTAAATTTCAGAGAATATAGGGTCTTTTTTCTTAACTTAAAAGAATATATACTAGAAATCCATAGTGCACATCAGTTTTCTCATGAAACATTACGAGCATTCCTGTCATAGCCAAGGGACAGATTAAGGATTCCTGTGTCACAACTATCATTTAACACTGTATCAGATGGCCCAGCCATAGCAATAAGACAAGAAAAAGCGATGAGTCAAAGTTGGAGAGCCCAACTGAGGTATCCTGTGTCTCTGATTCTGTGGTAGACTGATACTGGATGTCTCTAGAGAGATTTCAGTGTATCTTGGGAATTAGATGTGGATCTTATCTTTGAGGAGTCTAGCATTTAGTAGGTGGTAGTGGGGGACTGGAACTTTAAGGTGACGTTATTTGTAATGAGAGAAGTATGGAGAAATTTCTGTGGGAGAGAATCCAGGAGGTCACTGTTGTTTGAAGTGGTTTGGGAGGCTGTGAAGTGTAGGTTTAAACTGAGCCTTGTAAGCTAGGTAAGATTTTGAAAATGGGTAAGGCTGCTAAACAGAGAGGGGTCACAGTGAGGCTAGGAAGGAATAGAAAATGTTTAAAGAACAGTGAGTAGGTGAAGAGCATTGTAGATTGTGAGAGGAAGACTCAGGGCAGGCAGCCAGGGTACTACTGTCTCAGGATTATTTTATTTTATTTTTTATATTTTTGTCTTTTTGAGACAGGGTCTTGCTATGCACTTCAGGCTGGCCTTGAACTCACTTTGTAACCCCGGCTGGTCTCAAACTCACAACGATCCTCCTGCCTCAGCCTCCCGAGTGCTGGGATTACAGGCATGCGCCACCACACCCGACTTTCAGGATAATTTTAAATACCAGACTAAGGAGCTGGACTTTTACCTAACCCTGTGTCACAAATCATTACTATGGTTTAGTCAGGAGAATGTGTCCTGGTAAAAGCTGTAGCATGGGAAGATGGATCTGGTGGATCTGTGCAGGAAGGATGCAACATGGAAGAGACATTGGGCTGGGAGATGCTAGGACCTTATTAGATAAACTTGTTGACAGGGACTGCATTAGGGGCCTGACTATGGGTATGGAAAAGAAGAGGTGATGCCATGGATCTGGTGGGAGGAAACCAATGTGATCACAAATCAATTGGCTGTTGTGGATGAGGTGGAGGCAGACATGGGATATGATTCAAAGGCCACACACACAGGAGAGTGGTTTCATTTGCATGCAGGTGTTAGATGGCAGAGCTGGCATGGTATAAGATGAAGCTCCAGTGTTAGGTCTATATTGAGTTTGAGGTGACAGTGGAACTTCCAGGTATGGATGTATAGAATTGGAGCTTGAAGAGTGGGAACAGTTATAGATTTTAGAATCTTTCTCATGAAAGATTAAAGGTGGAGGTTAAACTTCTAGGCGTGGGTGAGCTCTTTATGCCAGAAGCAGGGAGACAAGAGAACTTGGGGTAGAACAGTCATGAGGGCAATGGAGGCTATGAAGGGGATCTCAGAATAAATGCTCAGGGCGGTGACAGGAGACCAGGACTATGTGTCATCACAAAGTAGATAGTAAAGAGTTTCAAGGAGGAGGAGTGGGAGGTTAGCAGTGTCAATCTGAAGAGATAAAGAGGAGGGGGAGAGAGCCCACTGGGCTGGCCATGGGCCTGGTGATTTTCAAAGGATCATTTTAGTTGAGTGCTGGTGACAGAAACCAGACCATGAGGGGCTGAGCAGTGAGTGGAGCGGGAGTGAAGACGGCATCCAACTACACTCTGGAGTGGTTTTATGATAAAAGGGGGAGAGAATGTAGTTAAAGAGGGCAGCAGAATATTGGGAACTTTTTGTACAGATAGGAGTCATATGAATGTTTCTAGGTAGAGAACAAGAAGGGAGAAGGTTGAAGATGGGGGAGGAAAGAGCAGGAAAAGAAGGGAAAGAAAGAAATGGACAGAACAATCACTCAGGAGGTTGGAAGAGATAGGCCTGGGAGCCAAGGTAGCTTATTCAGGCACAGACAGGAGCTGAGATGCCTCTTTATGAAATTATAAAGGGGGATAAAGACATAAGGAAATATCAGAGTCAGGCTTGGGAGCGTGAATTGAGAATCTAATGTTTTACATTTCATTATGTATATGGGATTGAGTTCATGGCTCATCCGGTCATTCGATGTAAGCTTTAATCTGTGCTACTCACTAGTCTTGGCTCTGGGAAAGTAGTAGTCAACAGCAGGGAGAGCCTATGCCCTTGTGGAGTTGGACACTAAACAAAGAAACACATAGATGTATACTCTTTTAGATGTCTGATAAGTGCCTTAGAGACAAAGCAGCGATGTGCTAGTGAGGAGTAGAAGGCAGGTAAGCAGTTATACTTTAACATGGGACAGTCAGGGAAGGTCATTGCTTGATGAGAATGGACCACATTGAGCAGCCAGTGCAAAGGTCCTGAGGTAGGAGTGTGTCTGGTGTGGCTGGGGCAGTGATCAACATGAGGTCCGAGAGGTAATGGGAAAGGGGCCAGCTTATGATTGGCCCCAGAAATGCTAAAAATTTTAGTTTTTAGCATAGTGTGGTATGAGAAGCATTAGAAAGAATTTGCTCCACAAAATGACGTTATCTGACTTGTTCTAAAAAGATCGCTGTAGCCAGGATGGCAGGAGGGAGAAGAGTTAGGAGGCTGCAGCTATTGATCAGGGTGGAAGCCAGAAGATGGGAGGAAGTGCTCAGACTGTGGAGATATTTTGGAATGGCTGCCAACAAGATTTATAGGTAGATGAGACAAGGACAACTCTGAGGCTTTTGGCCTGAACAACTAAATAATAAGCACTCTTTGTTGATAAGGGTAAGAATCTGGCAAGAGGGAGCATCAAAGTGTGTTGGGTTTTGAGATACCCACAGAAGATCTGAGAAGGTCAGGCTGTGAGAGTTAAGAGTTTCAAGGGGCTGTTAGAGCTTAGAGAGGTGGGAGGTATCACAGATTTCACCCAGAAGAAGTACAGGTAGGGAAGATTCTGAGGACTGAGTGTGGGGCCTTGCACATCTGGAGGTTGCAGACAGGAGGGGGAACCAGAAAAGAAAGTGGGATACAGCCCTGTGGATTAGAGGAGCGCTCAAAGCCAGGCTGAGGTGGTGCTGGCCACTTGCATGGCCCCTGTGGTGTGAAAGGGGATGGGGAATCAGAAAGGTGAGCAAAGGATGGCACCACAGATCCAGTGCATCCAGGCAGGTTCATTTTAAGGACTTTTTGTGGTGCCCAGCAGCTTTGGGCAGGAGCAGATAAGCATGAGGTACTCCCCAGGGTAGGGGACCACTCAGGTCAGTGGGACTGAGGGTCAAAGGGCAGTGGGATGCTGGGGGTGGGGCCCCTGGGCTGAGGCTGCTGGTATCACCCTGGATTCAGAAAGAGGCAGGTGACCATGACAGAAGAGGAGGACCTGGATAGATCGTGTGGCGTGAGGAGCCAGTGAGCCAGCACGTAACAGGACTGAAGTCTCCTGGCCCCAGGCTGGCCCCTTCTTCCTCTGTCCCGGGGTTAGAAACTAGAGGAACATGGTGCCCTTCTAGCCAGCACGATGGCCACCTGCCCTCTCTCTCTGTCTGATCCCTTCCCCTCCCTCCAGCGTGTGCCAGATCCCGGACACAGAACACCAACTAATCTTTATTTTCTCTCTGTTTTTGTTTTGTTTTGTCTTGTTGGATGCCGTGTCCCCTGCATTCTCTGTGTGCCCTGTGTCCGTGTGCCCCTGTGCCACTGGTGGGGGGCTTTCCTTGCCCGGTGTCCCCTCCCTGCCTGCCTTCCACTCCCTGCCGGCTCCCCTGGGGTGGGTGGGCAGCGTACAACGCCAGACTGCAGGGCCAAGGGCTGAGTGGCAGCTTCCGGGCCCCTCCTCTCCACCGGCTCCGCTCTGCCTCCCTCTCCGGTTGGTTCCTTGTCTTCCTTCTTCTCCCTCGTAGCTCTTTAGCCCCTTTGTGGCTCCTGGCTTCTCCCTTTTCCTATCCTTTGGGCGCTGTTCCTTCCAAATCTTTGCCTGCCTTCCTCCTTCTCCTGTCCATTTCCTCTTTCTCATCTCTTCTCCCTCCCCACGACTGTCCTCTCTCCACCTTCTGATTCTCAGCCTCCCCGCTTTCTCACTGCCCCCTCCTTACCCGAATTGTCCTCCTCCTGCTCATCAGCCTCCCTCCCCACTGCTGCATGAGCCAAGGCTCCACTCTGCATGGATGCAGGCCCGATGCTTTTAGCTTTGGCCTTGTCTGCTGGCGGCAGGGTCTGAAGTAACCAGACAAACTTCCAGGGCCCCGCGGAGATGCGGGCCTTTGCAATGAGGGGCATGGTGAGGGCTCCCGACAGCCGAGCACTCTGCTACCCCAGGCAAATGGTCTAGGCTGCGGGACCACATCTCAGCAGGAGCCAGGTTGTGCTTAGCCTCAGCTACCAGGCATATGACCAGGGGTGGTGGCCCATATCTGCTTCCCTGTCCACTCAGGAGCATGTCCACACTCTGGGGACAGAGTGTCTCATCTGACCCCCCCACCAATCTAGGACCCATAGCAAGGAGTCAGAGGTCTCAGCTGTGGTCCTGGCCCTGCCAGTGCTAACCTCTGTGACCTTGGGCAAGTCTCTTCCCTAGTCAGAGCTGTTTTCCAGTTTTAAAACTGGAGCAATGACAGGCCTGCCTTGAATGCTGCACATGGTGTGCAAACCCTGAACATGGTGGCTCCAGCATCAGGGCTGCGCTGTTTTATCTGAGGGTGATGTCCATTGATAGTTACCCCCAGTCTCTTGGATGTGCAGGCCCAGAGGCTCTTAGCCCTTGGGAAGAAGTCTCCTCATCTGGTCCCTGCTCCTCTGAGCCTAGGCTGCTGTCAGGAGAGACTGTGTGCTTAGGCTTGCCGACCCACTGCTGTCCCAAAAGGCTGCAGGTGGGTGGGAACCACTGACTCCCAGTGACAGCGCCTGGTGCCTCGTGGACCCTCCTGCTCCCAGCCTGTGGGGATGGGGAGATGGCTCTAACAGACTGTTCCCTCCTCTTCTGCTCCTCTCTCTCTGTGCTTTTCTTGGCCCAGTGGTGAGGAGTGCAGTGTTCAGCTGGGCCTGGGGTTCGGGCAGGTTCCGGGGTGGTGTCCTATCCGAGGGGAGCTGGCATGGCTTGCCCTGGGGCTGCTGGTGTGATTGCCTGCACCGCCGTGTGGCTTCCTGGTGCCCTGGCCCAGCAGGTGGCCTTTCTTCTGGACCCCCTCGCTTCCGGAGGCATGCAGTTGAACACCTGGCCCCGCTGCCTGGAGCTGAGGAATCCAGTCTTTTGGAAATCGGAAGGCTGGAAAAAAGAGCTGGGTCTGTAGGGGGTGGAGGTGGCCAGTGAGGGCGTGGGGGTGGCTTTGAGGAAGCCATAGCAGGGTGTTTGTCCGTGTGACTCTGGCAAGGGCAGTGTGCTGTGCCACAGTGCTCAGAGTGACAGGTGTTAACGCTTCAGCTTTCAGGATTGCAGTGTGTGTGTGTGTGTGTGTGTGTGTGTGTGTGTGTGTGTGTGCACGCACACGGGTGCAGATGTGTGCGGACATCTGCCTCGAGAGAAGGGGCCGGAAGACCAAAAGATTCCTAGGTAGAGGGTCCCTGTGGGAAGCAGGCTGTCTTATTACTGGTCCCGTCTCTGGGACGTGAGAGAGGGTTCTCTCTGCCGTGGCTGTCCACTTAGGTCCAGACTTCCCAGCTTGGCTGAGGAACAATGGGCTCTCTTCTCTTGCCTTCACTGTGCTGGTTCCCCTCCCGGAGAGAGAGACAAGAGGGAGAGAATATGGCTGTCCATGCAGTTGGGGTAGCTCCGGGCTTGCCAAGGGGGACAACAGTGGGACACTGTGTTCAAAGAATGTCAGTGGCCCTAATGGGCCATGGGTGCCATGGGGCACTCTGTAGGGGGTGGGGCGTCCCTGTGGGAGTGGAATGTGGGGTCTTCCCCCTGCTGAAAGGGGAGGCTCTGCCCTGCAGCTCCCTGGCTCTTCAGAGGTCACTCTGTCCACCCCCTGCCTCTGGGTGGGATGCATTCCCACATGCTGAGCTGGTGGCAGTGGGGACAGTAACTGAGAAAGTACTAGTGCCTCATGCAGGGTCTCAAATCACCCACCCAGTCTAGCATGTTTTCTGAGCTGCTGGAACCTTCTGTGGCCCCTGGACATGGTTGCTGCTTTGGGAAGGTCCAGGAGAATGTTCTCTTTCCCTCCAAGAGATGGGGTACCACCATTGCAAGCAGGCCCATTTGTTTAAGGGCAAATATCAGATCCCCCAACAGGGAATGCCACCCCTTGAAAAGGCAAAGGGATCTATCAGAAAGAGACTGTTGGGTGAATAATCCCAGAAGTGAGACCAGCTCTATGTGTTTCCTTTAACCTTGGGGCTGAATGGGCTTCTAAGCCCCAAGAGCTATTCTCGAGTGGGTCTCCTTTGTCCCGGTATTAGTAGAAAATCAATGGCTATATCTGTTTCTCTCTGATGTTTTTACCAGTAACAAGCACAGAAGGGGCTGTAGGCCATGCTGTCCAGGAGGCCTGAGCAGGGCAGGACTGGGTGGAGGAAGAAGCTGGGCTGAGGCCAAGGGCTTCCTCCTGGTTGCTCTGCTCTTCCAAGGCCTGGGAACCTGGAATTGCAGGAGGACCGCGGCCTGGCAGCACCCTCCACATCCAGCCTCCTTCCTCTGGGGCATGCTCGCAGAAGCTGCTGAGTGGGACTGATTGGATCCTTACTCTTCTTTCTGGAAATAAGGGCACTCTGGGGTTGCAGGGTGCTTTAAGCAGAGCAGTTTGAGCAGAGCAGGCCTCTGCCTTGCTTGAGCTGGAAGGCAGGGCTGCCTCTCCGTAACAGTCCAAAGCAATGACTCCAGTGCCTTTGGGCACCTTCTGCATTTAACATGCTGCACCAGGCCTGCTGCCCTGTGAGAGCCCTTTGGAACTCCCGTCACAAGAATGTGTGAATGAGTCCCATGTCTCTTGGCTGGCATGGGGGTGCACCTGCCCTTGGACTTGGTGGCCAGTGGCCTGCTGTATTGTTCATGACAGGTAGGAAGGCTTCCCAGCAGCCACTGGTCATGGTGGCTATTGTGGTTGTGTCGGGGGGAGCTTCCTGCAGCTTGCGTATCCCACTGTAAATGGAAGCGGATTCAATCTGCATGAGAGTGAATTTGGCTTGGTTGTTTCAGCACATTTTCAGGTGCCAGCAGAGAGTGTATGTGTGTGTGTGTGTACACTTCCACACATGCTGGGGGATAAGTGTTCAGGGTCCCAGGTTTGTGTGATCTAGGACCTTAGGATAACCCTAATTAATGTAGTGAAGGCAGGGCAGAAAGTCTCCTGAAAGATAATTGGGTCTAGGAGTACACCCTTTGGGCTGGGTCTTGGCCCCTGGGACCTGGGAAGTAACTTTTCTAAGATTCTGGGAGCCAGCTCAGTGAGGCAATGAGTTCCATGATCCAGCCCGGCTGTGGGAGGAGGGAGTGGGAAGGAAGCAGGGTGAGGTTAGCAACATGCCCAGCCTATGGGATGGAACTGGGATGGGAAGTGCAGACACAGATGGAGCACATGACTTCTCTCTGCCTTCCCTTCAGCAGGATGGCAGGGTGGGAGCTTCCACCGCCTTTGGAGGTAGATAGTAGTAGCTAAGGAACCAGTATAAGGGAAGTTGGTAGGAGGTTTTGGGGGTGCATGGAATGAAGGTTGGGGAACCCTGGGAGGGTCAGAAATATCCCTGGGGGCAGTTGGGGCTGAGAGCTCCAGAGCAAGACTGAGTCATTTTAAAATTTCTCCTTGGGAACACCATTTGCAAGATGATGCAATTTAGCCCTTTCCAAGATCTCTTCCCCCTGGGTTCGATGTTGCTTGTTGGTTGATGCAGTTGCCTTGGAGACCCTGTCTTTCCCTTGTCTCCCCTCCCTTGTCTGGAAGCTCTGGCCCTCTGCCTCCAGGGGCTGGAAAGAGCTGACATCTGTTTCTTCTATCAATCCTTTGTGCTCTTGGTCCCAGTGCTGCATGGAGTAGATTCTAGTAAAGACTGAGCCCAGTGCAAGCAGGTCCTCCACCCTGCAGAGAAAGCCTAGGGTATAAGCCGAGCTGGGCCCAGGAAGGCTGAGGGAGGTGCTAAGGGGAGGCAGCCCATTTTGGCTCTGAATGGTACTGCCTTCTCTGGGGGATTAGACACCACTGATCATTTCTCAAATAATATGTTCATTACCCTCCATACCCGGCCATTCCTCCAGGGGTGCAGGCTCGGGAGAGGCAGCCTGCCGAGCCCCCAGCCCCGCTCCGGAGGAGAGCAGCCAGCGACGGACACTATGAGAACCAGTCTCCCGAAGCCACATCCCCCCGTAGCCCCGGGGTTCGCTCCCCCGTCCAGAGTGTCTCCCCAGAGCTGGCTCTTACCATCGCCCTCAATCCTGGAGGGCGGCCCAAAGAGGTGAGTCCTTGAGCTGTGTCCAGGAAGCTGACAATCGGCTTGGCATTGACCTATCAGTAAATATAGTATTTTTTTCTCCCTGCAGTCTTTACCCCCGATCTCTTCTCTGGTGTATGGCATGTATAGTCCACTCCCTTCTTTCAGTAGCTTTTATGCTCTCACTTCTTACGTTATTGCTGAGATGGAAGTCCCCTGCTCTATTCCCAGAATCCTTTAATTATGTGATAAGGATTCTGGGGATGCTATAGGTGACCTCGGTCTTGAAAACAAATCAGGTCAGATGGACTGATAAAAATGTTTCAGTCTGTCCTGGAAAGTTTTCTTGGGAGATTTAATTTTCATGCCAAAGTGTTTGCATTTCTAGGAAGTTTCAGTAGTTTGTAGAACCACTGTGGATTGTGCTCATACTGTAGATTCCCAAATCCACCTCCAGAGATTTCAGCATGGAAGATCTGGGAAGGGAATGAGGAGTCTACAAGATTCTGATGTGCAGATGGTCCATCGGCCACCCCAGGACATTTGTGCTGTCCTGTAACACCCAGGCTGTAGAGTTGTTCTGGATGTAGGAGGCCTTCACACGCCTTTCTTACTTTCCTTCTGGTAGGATCCAAGTCCACCACCTGCAGCCCCTTTGTTGTAGCCCATTCTGAATTATTTCCAAGTCCAGTGCTCCTGCATTCTGCCTGTGCTTGACCATGGCCTTGAAAACAGCAAGAAGTTGGAGTTGCGTATGGCCAAGCTCTCCCTTTGACTTTTTGGCTTACCTGAGCAGTGGTGATGATCAAGCTGAGGAGGCAACTTGTCTCTGCTTAACTTGCTCTTCTCACGCCAAGGTCATCTGAAGGGCCATCCTGCCCTCTCAGGACTCCCGCTTTTCCTCCCCTTTGTTCTCCTACAGCCCCACCTGCACAGCTACAAGGAGGCCTTTGAGGAGATGGAGGGAAGCTCCCCAACCAGCCCACCACCCACTGGGGGTAAGAACTTCCTGCTGAGCCTGTCTTCTCCGTGTTTCCTCCAACCCCCTGCCTCCACGTTGGCCAGTATGGGGGAGGGATGGGAAGAGTGTGCCGGCAGAGTTGGGCAGAGTTAGAATTTGCAAGCCCCACTTCAACTCCTTTTCTTCCACTGTGCTGTCTTCTCCCTTGTCCACTTTCACATCTGACCTTGAGGCAGCCGCAGAGTGGTGGAGGCAGGATCTAACACTGAGGCAGGATCCAAAGTGATCGACTATGGGGCCCTGTACTCTCATATGATAGGGTTTTCTTAATTGTTTAAGGCTTTTTTACATTTTGCACTCAAAAGATCCCCCATCCTAACATGGACTTCACCCTGACATTGTTTCTGACCCCCATTCCTATTTGCATCAGGATACTTTTTCCATTTCAGGTGACCTGTATAGCTTTCTCCAGGGAAAGAAAGTGGTCTGTCAAGCAGGAGCATTTACACAATCCCCAAAGGGCAGCCAAAGAGAAGACTCAGATGAGCCCAAGAATGGGGCAGTGTTTCTTTTTATAAGAGATGTACCCTGAAGAAGAAGTGGAGGAAGTGGTTGTGGGGAGGGCAGTGATAGAGCCACACTAGGCGGTGAGATCTCAGGATCCCCATGAGAGGTCTCGGGTGGCACAGGAAGTGGAGACTGGTTGCTCAGGGATCATAGTGGTTGGATCTGCCTCCTCCGTGAGGAAGGCGGACTGGCACTGGCTGGGGATCCTCTGTCCTGTACATCATGGAATGTGGTGATGGCACATGACCCATATGCCAGGAGAACTTGTGTTGGCTGCCATCTTGGACATGCAGGAGGCCAAAGTTATGACAGTTCAGCGGCTTCTGGAAACCCAATGGAAACAAAATATGAGCACCTTGAAATTAAAATTCTTTGTAGCCACCCTGAAAGACGTGATAGGAAACTGGTGAAATTGATTTTAATAACATCTTCATTATATCCAAAATGTTATCATTTCAATGGGTGAACAATATAAAAATATAGATATTTTACCACCTTTTTTTAGCCACTGGTCCAGTCTAAAATATTGAGACATTAATATTTTATTAATACAAAACACAAGCTATTTGGTACCCATTTTGCACGCTGCTTGAATTCTGGTGTGCATTTGGTATACAGCACATCCCAGTTCTGATCAGCCAGCTGCAGGTTCTCAGTAGCCACATAAGGCTTATGGCTGTGATGCTGGACCTACAGCGAGGGCAGGTTTCCAGCTGTCTGCTCCAGAGCCGACTCTGCAGCCTGTTGTGACTCAATGGCATTTGTTTTCTGGCTCTTAATCTTCCACCTTTACAACTGCTTCTAATCACTGGTGGATCCAGACAGACAGCGGTGGGATGTCCCCCTGCTTGGACTGGAAGCCATGCGAGTTGTGCTAGAATTGGGTTTTGCTTTTTCTCTCCCTACCCTTGGCCAGCCAGGGTGCCCTGGGGATGAGGGTAAGTCAAAGGTTTCATAACTGTACAGGGCTGGGGAGAGAGGATGTCAGGCGGAGAAATGCCAGGAATTTTTCTCGCAGGAAACAGAAGGCTGCTGGGTTTCAGCGCCACCCACTCATCTGCTTCCCCATAAGGGCCACTTTTCCTGGCACTGAGTCGGGTGGGGTGCTGGTGGCAGACCGGGAGAAAACCCAGGCAAGCTTCCGACCATCTCTAGCCCTCTTATTCTCTTCCCCTTCTCTCCTGGGTCTCTCTGCCCCTCGGCTGCACCTGCTGGGCAGGTGTTTGCTGACTAGAGTTATGGGTTGGGCTCATTCCTTCATAATCATGCATTCAGCCAGGCATCTGACAAACATTTACAAGCTTAAGTGCTTGAGAAGTATCTGTGAGTGAGACACTGTGTTAGGCAATAGTGGATGTGGAAAGGCCTAGACTTCCCCAGTACCTGGAGGTGTATGTTTACACATGTATTTACCTCATGCTGCATCTGTTCCTTGGACATATAAGGACAGAGGGACAGTGGAATGCAGAGGTGGGTCACCTCTCGGGACCTCTGAGATGTTCCCTGCTCCCGTGCACACAGGCGTACATTCCTACATGCACACAATTTGATTGTGCACGTCACTTGCATTGAGATTGTACTCTTCTGTTGCTGTTCATTTCCTGTAGGTCTCTGATTTTGGGGGGAAAGGGAAGGGTGCTAGAGAGGGTGCATGGATCCTGGGCGTCTGAGGGCCACAGCTTGTGTATTGAGACCATCGGGCAGGCAAGCAGGAAGCCTCCTCGAGAGCTGCAGCTTCTGCAGGTTACCAATCTCCCTGAGAGGAGACAGAGCTCATTTCACTCATTCTGGGAGGTGAGACGTGACAGCTGTCACTGAGACATCTTGTGACTGGGCATAATACTACCAGTAGCTCAGCCCAGATCCTTGGCTGATGAGAAAGAGCCCAGCACCCCTTTCTGACCTTGTGTGTTATGTGACACTTGTAACCCAGCTGGGTGGCTCAGGAGGAGCCTGGCTTTGCCTGGGAAGCTGGTGCTCTTAGGCCTGGACCGCTCGGGTTTCTTCTCTTGGAGTACCTAGGTTTGAGGTACAGAGCCCCAAGCCTAGAATATCCTTCCTGCTAGGATTTGCAAGGGGCCCTGAGTTTCAGGGTTTCCACCTGTAATCACTGTCTCTCACTGTCCTTTTCAGGATGTGTCCTTGTGAGAGTCAGTTTTCATTTAGTCTCCTCTGAGTCCATTCACGTACATGGTTTAAAGTCTGTGTGTGTGTGTGTGTGTGTTGGGGAAAGAGAAAGGAGGATGGAAAAGAGAGAGCGTAGAGAGGAAGACACAGAAAGAAGCCTGTGTGTATATTGTGAGCCACAGTACTGTAAGGGAACTGTAGTAGAAGCCAAGGGCCCGAGGTAGAAATTATTTTCTAAGGGTTGGGGACAGGACCAGGACAAGGGTGTCACTTCCTAACTCTTTCCCTTTGTCCTTTAAACTGCTGAAATGTGGAGAAGCACAGAGGCAGGGAAGGGCAGTGGAGCCAGAGCAGCCGTTTCAGGGCTGGTTCCGGGGCTGCCCAGCTCGGGCAAGCAGGCATCCCCACTGTGGGGTGTCCGGTCCTCCTGCTCTGCCTCCTCCCTCCCTGCCTCATCTCCCTTCTTCTTCCCACACAGTGCGCTCCCCTCCGGGGCTGGCCAAGACACCTCTGTCTGCTCTGGGCCTGAAACCACACAACCCAGCGGACATCCTGCTGCACCCCACAGGTGGTGAGTGACCGGCTGAAAGGGTGGCAGTGGTGGGGGCATGTGCCTGGGAGGGGATCTAATTGATAGCACCTAAAGAGCACACTTGTGGAACCCTCCTGGAGAGGAGATGGCCAGGGGCTCTGCACCCTTGCTGATGCTGAGCCTTGGAGCTTTGCCCAGGGCCTGGGATGACATACCCCTTTGTAGCCTTTCTACCTGTTTTTGCTTCCTTGGACTTGGGGATTTGGAGCCCTCATCTCCGTTTCCTTGTGGAGTCAGACAGCTTTCTAAAAGCCTGGCTCTCCTGACCAGCCCACCGGCCTCTGCTCTGAGTGTGTTCTCCTCAGAGGCCAGGTCTCTGAATTTGGGGTGTTTTCCTGCTCTGCCTCTTAGGCTTTTAAAAACTTCCTGAGAAACCCATGACTCAGTGGCAGCCACCACTGAATGCCGGATCCCGGGTCCTTGCTCTCTCAGCCTGGGTCTCCCTGCCTGGGCCAAGGTCCTTGCCACCCCTAGGTAGCCTTTAATTCTCCCCTTGTTCACATCCCCAATGGTGCAGCAGTTGGCCCTGCTGCTGAGGACAGAGCCAGATTCCAGGGCTGCTGGACTGCTCCCCAGCCTCCTGGGGCCCTGCAGCCTGTCCTGGTTACAGAGAGGAGGACAGCGTCCCCCTGAGCTGATGACACCTTGGCTCACACCTCCGACTTCCTCTTCCCACTTCCTGGTTCCTCTCCTTCCTGTGGGGAGACGACCACAGAGAACACGAGCACCTAATGCCAGCTGGAGCTGGCTAATCCAAGAAAATTGCTCCTAGACTGGTTTTAGGGTTGAACTGGGGCTAATGTGGTCAATTGTACCTTTTCTCCTAAATAGCCCGAAGACTGATCCAGCCAGGTAGGCGGTAGCAGCATGCGTTTGTGACCCACACAGACACTGGCCAGGACACAGCCTGCCACCTAGGTGTTGGCATGGCCAGGGACACTGAGCCACAGGGGGCTGGGCTGCCTGTCACTGACCAGCACTGCTGCTTGAGACTCAGCTGTACAAGCCTTGGCCCCAGGGGCTGTGACAGGGACAGGTTCCTGAGAGCCAAGGTCTCGGGTTGTGTGTGCACTGGACTCCTGGGGTCTGGTGCAGGGTGGGCCTCAGCCTTCTCCTTGGGGCTTCGCCCTGGCCTCCCCTTTCTGCCGCTCTTTCCTCAGCAAATTCAGTTCTTTCCCCAGAAATGTGCCCTGATAACCAGTCTCTCTCTCTCTCTCCTGCGGGCTCCTTCTCTCATCTTCGTCTCCTGACCCTTTTTCCTGCCTCTCTTCTCCCCTTCCCTCAGAGGAAGATGAGGGGAAAGAGGCGACCGCGGCTCCCGCCGGTAAGTGTGGGTGTATGTATGGCTGCTCCTGCTCTCTCGCGAATGGCTTTGCACGCAGGACTTGACACGGTTGGCTGGGGGACAGCCCTCTCTTCTTACCTGGGCTCAAGTGACCAGGCATCAGCTTTCCTGTCCCCAACCCCTGGCACTGCCTGAATGCTGCCTGGGGAGCTTGTAGCCACTGGGCACCAGTTCAGGACAACTGGTGTCCAATGTGGTGACACCTTGTTGACAAAAAGTGCCCCTCCTGCCACTTCCTCTGCAGGGGTATTTGCACCCATCTGCCGGGTGTGCAGCCACCCAGAGGTGGACAGGCCAGGCTGTCAGAGTGGGGACTCTGTGGGCTGCACAGTCCCTCACTGCGGAGTGGCCTGTAGGGTTCTGAACCGTGTCTCCGCTTCTACTTGCCAGACACCAGTAGCACTCACCCGTTATGACAACTGAAAATTTCTCCAGCATGGCTGGTGTCCCCTGGGGAGGTAATTACCCTCGGTTCAGAGCTACTGTCATACAGCCACACCTGGCCCTTTGGAAGCCTGTGTCTGGTTTCCTACCAGCACAGGAAGTAGGCTCTCTGTCTTTCTGGGATCTCAGACACCTTGGAGAGCTTCAGGAAAGCTGTGCACCCACCCTGGACAAACACACGTCAGGACGCCTGTGCACATTATCCTGAGAAGCAGTTTCAAGGAGTTAGGTAGCTGTGGGTCCTGGCCTAAGTCCTGATTTGATGATGGTGCACCTGGCAAGTGGAGGCGGGCAGCACCTGGCAGAAAGGCTTTCAGTCAGTTCAGGCAGAAGATTCACAAGGACTCAGAGCAGTGGCTGATGGAAGGGGTGCTCTCCTGAGAGGCTCATGGGTGGCTCTTGGAAGTGACATGCAGTAGAGCTGGGAAGGTGTGGCTGGGCTAAACAGGATCCACAGCCGTGATCCTGGGCTTCATATCAGGAGGCTCCCAGCCCCCAAGCACAAGGTGCGCTCTCAGATGCTCATGTGAGAAGGTCACGGGCTCGACGACAGGTCCTGGGGGGCTGTGAGGAACAAGTATTAGGCTGCGGGTGTGGCTCAGTGGTAGCGCATTTACCTAGCATACGTAAGGACCTGGGTTCAATCCCAGTGCCACAGAGGAGCAAGTATTAACAGAGCTGAGCTGAGATCTGCCGAGTGTGCCTCATGCATGACTCTCAGCTTGTGAGACCCTGAGTCCCCCAACCTCCCATGTGTCCCAGAGCCACAAAATTTGGAGGGAAAGATTCCTAGCCACGGTGGTATCATACCGGACTGGGAACTGAGCTTTGTGTTAGGGGTGGGTGGGGGAGGAGTTGTGGGTCTCCTGGCTCTTACTGAAGTGGCCCTTTCAGAGCCTTTCCTGCCTTGGTGCCCTGGGATTCCAGTGTAGGAGTTGGAATTGCTGTTCAGGGGTGGGCAGAGGGCGGGGAGCAAGGCTGGGGAGCCAGTTCCGTATTTCCTGACTCAGGCTCCAAGACCTGGCTCAGACTGGAGCACATTTTTTGCTGACCCTCTGGTCTGTGTGACTTCCCTGCTGATACTTTAATGGGAAATTCAGAAAAAGAGGCCCATGAGGAAAAATGACCAGTGGAGTCCAGGCATGGTGGCGCATGCCTTTAATCCCAGTGCTCAGGAGGCTGAGGCAGGAGGATCGCTGTGAGTTCTAGGCCAGCATGGGCTACAAAGTGAGTTCAAGGCCAGCCTGAACTGCGTAGTGAAACTCTGTCTCAAAAAGACAAAAAAAAAAAAAAAAAAAAAGACCAGTGGCCAAATTACTCAGCTGAGGGAAAAGAAGGATCTGGAGGCTGCTGCTTCGTTCACGTCACTGTGCTAAATATATTCATGCATTCTTTTATTCATTGATTCAATAAATATTCTGTGGGACTGTTGTGTGTCAGGAGTCATGCAAGGCTCTGGAGACATAATGATAAGCAGTGCGAGATATGGTTCCTAATCTCACAGAGTGTATGCATAAATAGCATCCAGAATTAAACCATCACTCAGAATTATGCATTCAGTGTGTGGGAGGGAAGGGATACAATTTTATGAGAACTTACAGCAAAGAACATGCTCTATGTGAACTTGGTGAAACTGCAATAGGAGAAGAGCAGAGGGGGATGGAGTGGACAAAGGCCCTGGGGTGGGAAGGAGTGGCATGTTGGTGGCATGTGCAAAGGTCCTGTAGTAGGATGTGACAGCATGTTTCTTCTGGGAACTGCAAAGCCAGTGAAACCAGAGCACAGATGAGAGGATGTGTGTGGTATGGAGTGATAGAAACAGGAGCCAGACCATGTGGGTCATTGTCACAGCATCTTGTTTAAGAATCACAGCAGTGCTGAGAAGAACGTAGTAGGAACTGCTTTTTACTGCTGAGAGGTTCGGTGACTTGTCAGGCCCACTGTTAGCCAGGGACACAGCTGAGAGCCTGCGCCATCAGTGTGTAGAGGCTGTCCCTTTCCATGTGACCGCACTGGGGACAAGGGGCACTTCAACATGAGAACAGTGACTTTACTGGGTGTGTGGACCTAGAGCCCATCTCCCCGAGGGAAGGAGAGCCTGCTGTGTTGCGAGCGAAGCTGGCATCAGGAGTGGCTTCCTGTGGCAGGGGACACTCAGGGTAGGTTCTCTTTGTCTGGGTGATTTGGGGTGGACAGACTCTGCTCGGAGGAAGGCGCTGGGCTGGAGGCTGCCTCTCTGGGGCTTCTTCCTCTTGGACCCTTGATGCCTGGGGCCCCATAGCATCCGGGCGGTTGGCCCCGAGGCTGTAAAGAAGTGTGCAGCAGCCTGGGGAAGGGACAGAGGCCTCAGGTATCCCAAGACCAGGCAGAAGTGCTGAGCCAGGGTAGGAAGCCAGGGTAGGATGCTCGGAGGAGGGGAGAGGGGCCAGTCAAGGTGGTCTGAAATTCTACCTCTGAGCTCCTGGATCTGAACTCAGGCATCTTTCTTCCCTCCATCTCCTCTCCACCACTCACATGTCGTCTCCGTATCACTGTTCTCATCTTTTTGTCTTCTCCTGTTCTCTTTCTCCTCTTCCTCTCCCCTCCCCTTCTCACCTTTCCTGTTTCCCCTCTCCCCCACTTCCCCCGTGCAGGGGGTCAAACCCAGAGCCTCCCAAGTGCTAGGCGGGCACTCTGCTGCCGAGCTGCCCCCAGTCCCTACATATCTTCCTTTTGTGCAAGGTGGGTCTCCTCTCCCCAGCCAGAGTTTCTTCCAGGAGGCAGACAGTGCACTTGAGGGTGTGGGTAAGAGCTGACGGTCTCCCAGGCTGGAGGAGCCCGGTCCCTCTTGTGTCTCCAGCTGCTCTGAGCGCCACCAGCCACTTGGGATGGTTTGGGCTCCTGGAATGTACCCCTCCCAGCCTTCCTGACCCCATCGCCTGGGTGCAGCTGCCCAGGATTGGTGGAGAGGAGGAATGCCGCAGGGTGCCCCGGATGGGGGAGGCTGGAGTGGCCCAGCCTGGGGCTTAGGCAAGGGTAGGTGGTTCTACCATTGCTATGGGCCACAGTTAGCAGCAGGAAGTTTCCACCTCATGATGCTATTCCACCCACTCCAGGTAGGTGTTCTCATTCTCACTATACAGATGAAGAAACTGAGGCACAGAAGGGTTCTAGTCAGAAAGAAGGGAAAGCCCCCAAGTGTTGACAAGCAGTCCTGAGGTGGAAAGGGAAGAGAAAGCTCAGGAACAGACAGAAAAAGGAAGCATTTTCATGCGGAAATCAATCTGGAAACCTGGGGAGCCTGACATTGGGCCCTCGGCTCAGTTTTACACAGTCCTGGAAGAGCTGAATGGAGCCGGCATCAAAGGACTTTGCTCTTCTTGACCCCCTGATATGCGATGGGAGTGCGGACGGGAAGGGTTGGGGCTGAGGAAGAGGATGGAGTGGGCGAGGACGGGCAGCAGACAGCAAGGTGCGGGGGCCAGGATGGGGCTGGGCTCTGCGGCCGCACTCAGGGTGTCTCCTGACATCATGGCACCCTCACGTACTGCCCCTTCTCCCCAGTTCGGTCCTGTCCCGCAAGTTCAGGCTCGTAGTCCTTGGAGAGCTCCTCTGGCTTTCTGTGGCTGGGGTAGTGGCCATGAGACAGGCCGTGAGGACACGGCCAGCTTCGCATTTCCACCTGTCGGACTTCTAATGTACTGTTCACCAGCCCGCCATGTAGACCTGTCCTTAGTCTTGTGGTTGTAGCTCCTGGGCAGGCTAGAAGCTAGCCGTGGGCCTTCCTGCAGTTTCCTGTTTAGTAGAGGGGTACAAGTATTTTCAAAGGGGGAGTGTAGAGTACTGGTGTTGCTTACCCAATGTGTGGGTCAAGGTCTTGGCAGAAAGCCAATGGTTCATTCCAGTGGCGCAACTAAAGGAGGGTTTAATGAACTGTTTAAAAGTCTGGGCAAATCTGTGAAGAATGTCACGTACCTTGTGCTGTCCCTGGCAGGAGGAGAAAGCCATTGCCACCCCAGGCCTGAGGAACCAGCACAGCTGGTGGTGACCAACTGTGGCCTTGTGTAAAGGGAGCAGCCATTGACCCTTGACTTCTTTCCCTCCTGCTCATCTCCTGCTAGTCCCTCCTGGAGCCATAGGACAAGGGGGTGACGCGGTGGGTGAAAGCCAGGCTGCAGGGACACAGATGAGGGCTGAGAGAGGATGAGGTCAGAGAAGTAGGGCAGAAAAGAGCACAGACTCTCGAGTGTCGTCTGCATCATTTCCAGCCTGAGCTCCAGGGATCGTGGGTCTCTTAGGTCTTCTTGGACACCTCTGACTGCATGGGGCGGAGGCAAGGATTGTTTATCTGTGGATTGGTGGGGCAGACACAAACCAAGGCCAGAACTCCTCTGGCTTTCTGTGGCTCAGAAAGGGGAAGTTATCTGCTCTGTATGAGGTACTGGAAACACTTACTAGCCGGGCAGGCTCTGGGCACTTAAGGAGGGGAGGTGGACCCTGTGTTGTCTCAGGTGGGAAGTAGGAGTGCTGTGCACAGTGCGAACTGGGTGGAGCTGCACTGAGCATCTATCTGGAAGGGCCGGGAAGGGTTCAGAGGGAGAGATGGATGGGGCAGTGAGGAATGGGAGGGGAGGGTGGGCTTTGTTTGGTCATCTTAGCATTTCTGCAGATGAAGTGCCCTCCAACGGTCCCTCTGCCAAGCTGGGTTATCAGCCCAGGGTGAGGAGCAGTTCCCCTAGACTAAAGCCACCCTGAGCCATTGACTCCCAAATTTCAGATGGTTCTGTGCTCACGGGAGGGTCGGGCTCTTTGCCAGTTGATTGGTTCCTGGGCCAGCTCTGCCATTTGCTAGCTGTGTAACCAGGGCAAAGTATTTACATTCTCCAAATCCTACTTTTCTCACATGATCACTTGCTAATTTTATCCTCCGCATACCTCTGTGGAGCTGGCACTCCTCCGGCTGATAGGCTGTGGGTGGGTGACAGTCAGCTCTAGGTGCCCGTATAAGACTGTGGGCCCACTCTGGGGCACTCAGAACTTGCACTGGGGTAAGGGTGTGCATGTCCACTGACTGCCTATGTTTTGTGGGGAAATCACTCGACCTCTGTGGGTTGATGAGGCAGTTTAGATCATGGGTCAGCAAACTGGCAGCTGGCCAAATCCCGCCTGCCACCTATTTTTGTAAAGAAACTTATTACAACACGGCTGTGCCCACTCAGTTGTTGTCTACAGATGCTTTTACACTACAACAGCAGGGTTGTGAAACTGCCACAGAGACACCTGACCCACCACACCCAAGACATATACCACTGGGTCCTTCACAAAAAACGCATTCTGGCCCTGCGTCGGAGGACCTTTGCCTGTCTAGCACAGAACCCAATCCTCTGGTGCCAGGTTGGCCTGCGAAATCTTGAGGTGGGTTGTAGCCTGGGCTGCTGAGGGATGCTTTTAAGACAGGAGGTCTTGCTGGCTCATCTCACAAGTCTAGGTACCCGGGTGGCTGCACCTATGGTATCCTGTGCCTTGTACCTGGAATAGACCTCCCAGCACCCACCCCTGTTCACATGCATTACCCAGGCCTCTAGGACCCTTCTGCAAAGGGCCATGGCCGGAAGCACGGTCCTCTGTCTGTGCGGGGGAGGCCTGTAGGTCTGGGAGAGGAAATCTGGCCTGGGCCACCTCGAAAGGAAGCTGGGCTCTTACCAAGAGATCTTGCCATCCCTCCTTCCTAAATGAGCTTTCCTTGGAGCTCAGGAGAGGGAGCTTCCTATATCAGGTGCCTCTATCCCAGTGCTTTTTTCACTGACTCAGTGACCATCACAGTCCTGACCAGCAAAAAGTGGAAGGCTCCAAGCCGTAGGGGTGCACAGGTGCCGGCTTCTCGGTGTCTGGCTGGTTTCAGCCAATGCTTAAGTGTGGCAGAACCGGGCTCTATCTGTGTTCAACCCTGGGCTCTCCCAGGTCAGATAGTGACTGTGCCAGGTTTGCAGGTACAGGGGAACCTCAGCCATTCCTGATCACATTCCTGGAGCAAGCGAGTGCCCTGCCTGCTCTTATTGTTAGCATCGAGCTAGTTCCTGGGCCGGCCTCAGTGGCTGTGGAGGATGTTGGACAAGTGTTGGGCTGGGAGCTGTGCCTCTTGCCATTTTACTTCCTGGCTTTAGACTCCTCTGTAAAGTGGCCTTTCTGATTCTTTCCCTCCCTCGCAGCCTCTGCTTGGGCTGTTCTGAACACCAGCGGGGATAATGTGTGTAAATGTGCTCTGTAAGCTGACCAGCGCTGCACAAATGCCAGAGGTGGGCACAGAATGTCCAGCTCCATCTGGCACGGGTTTCTCTGGAGGAATGCTAAGCGTGTGAGGCAGAGGTGGGTGGTGTCTTGCTGGGTGTGACTCACCGGCCCTGGCCTGTTGCTAGGTGAGCAAGCTTGTTTCTGGATTCTGGGTGTGCAGAGGACTGCCTTGAGGTAGGGCAGAGCTCTGTGTCCACCCCACAGCCACAGACTCCCGCGGGGCCTGGAGGTGGGCTGCAGCATCATGGAAGGCACTGAGGGGGCACAAGGACCCCAGCCGTGGACAGATGTCCTGGTACTTGTGGGGAAGACTCTCTGATGGCCATGTGCAGAGGCAGCGCCTGGAGTATCATTTGGGGACGCTTCTCCATGCCAGGTCCAGGTTAAAGGTTGTCTTAAGTCCCCCCAGGGAAAATACCCCAGCATCATAGGGAACCTTTTCTGAGCTGTCTTTTCCCCAGGCTGGACACTGGCAGGCTGTGTTTCTTGGCAGGTTGGGTGATGTCCACATTCCACCCCTGGGGATCCGCACTCAGTCTCTGTCCCCTTACCCCTTCCAGAGCCCCGGAGTTATGTAGAGTCAGTGGCGCGGACTGCAGTGGCCGGGCCCCAAGCTCAGGATGCTGAACCCAAGAGCTTCGCTGCCCCAGCTGCCCAGGCCCATGGCCAGGAGACCCTGCTGAGGAACGGCACCCGGGGCAGCTCCTTTGTCTCTCCCAGCCCCCTCTCCACCAGCAGCCCCATCCTCAGCGCCGACAGGTAAGCCGGGAGTGGGGAGCATGCTTGTGAGGGATGAGAGTACAGGCCTGGGTTGGGAGGGCCTCAGGATCTGCATAGGGTGGAGCTGCCCAGGGTGTGGATGGGCAGGAATCACATCTGGATTGTGCCCCTTGTGAACTACTTCACCGTGGCCCTTTGAGAGAGCACACCCTGAGCCCTGAGTGTTGTGGGGAGTCCGGGATGAGTGAGCTCTGATTCCCAGCAGGCTGCATTCAACCCCACCCATCCACTCTGGTGATGGAAGGAGGGAAATGGACCCACGTGAGGGATGCAAGGTCTTTCTTCCAAGTTTGAAACCTAAAGCCGATTATGCTGGCACACACTTGTAATCTCAGCATTCTGGGAGGCTAAGGCAGGAGGATTGAAAGTTTTAGCCTAGCCTGGGGATCTTAGCTACTTAGTAAGACCCTATCTTAAAATAAACAATATAAAAGGGCTGGGGTTGTAGCTCAGTGCAGAGGCCCTGGGTTCAATCCCCAGAACCGCAGAAATAAGTCAATAAGAATTTAAAAAGAAATAAAACCTGGCAGTGTATGTAGTAAGTGCTACATGCCTGGGCACCAGGCACTGCCGTGTGTGCTCTGTGCAGTTATCTTCACGGCAACCCTAGGAGGTAAGCACTGTTACTACTTGGCAGGAGAGGGAACTGAGGCGCAGAGATGAAGTTGCCTGCTCAAGGTCCTCCTGCTAAGCAGTCCCAGAGATAGGCTTCAGCGCAAAGGCGTATGGTTCTGGAGCCCTCTTTTCTATCTTCTCGCCCTTTTCCTGTGTCCTGGTGCTGTCCTTCTTGGGATGAGAGCCAGATGTGCCTACATCTGGCAGAGAAGGAAAGGGCTTGGAGCTGAGAGCAGAGGCGCTTTTTTCTGGCCAAGGAAGCCTAGGGAATTTCTGAGGGCTGGAGCCAGGGGAGGCCAGGGGGATGAGCAGGGCATCAAGAGGTGAAGAAAAGAGAAAGCACTTTGGAAGAATGGCACAGAGGGACGAGCCTGGGGGTGTGAGGGATGGGGCATGGGCAGCTGAGGTCCTGCAGGCTGAAAGCGAGGTGACTGGGGATGGATGTCGGCATCCACCTGAGCGCCTCAGAGGGAAGCCAGAAATGGGCAGGGGAGCTGGGCGGTCCCTGCTGGCGGCTTAAGAGAGAGAGGGCCCATACTTGGGAGCGGGGAGGAGCTGCTTGACCGCGTGGGAGTGAAGACTCCTTGGAGAGGGAAATGACCTAGGAAAGGGAGGTTGTGATTGGCTCGGGCCAGGCCTGGAGGAGGACTGGCCTGGCAGGAACTTGTCTTAGAACGGGAGAGCATCCCTTCTCGAACGCACCCCTGTCCTGGTTTGGGATTCCATGAGGCATACAGTTCCTGACTCCTCCTCCTTCCCACTTCTGTGAGCAGCCCAGTGGGTGAGGCTGCTGCTCACCTACACTGGCCCCGCGCAGTGAGGCCCCCAAGTCGGAAGGCAGCTGGGGGAGCTCTGAAACCTCAAGCCAAGCATGCACCCCCGCAACGCAGTCCACCTCGCACCTCCCTAGCTTCTTGACGCACCTCCCTAGCTTCTTGACGGAGGCAGAGGCTGCAGTGCTGAGGAGGCCTGGGGCTGGGGATTTCCCTGACTCGCCCCAGCCCCGGGGCTGATGTGATGTGAGACCTGGCCCTGGGAACTTCCTCCCTGCTCCTCACCCAGATTCCTCCTGCTGTAGTGTTGGCTCTTTGCAGGAGTCCGGAAGCTAGCATTTCTCCTCTGGGATCGATCTTCCAGAACTCTGGTTTAGCAGCCCATCCCCGTGCTGCTGATGCCTGGTGCCTCCTGTTGCCTCTCTCATTCCTCACTTTACTTGCTACCAGGAGGCAGCATTCTGCTCTGCCCCCTTTAGACCACTGGGTTGACTTTGTCCTGGCCTGGTCTCTGACCTCCTTGCCCTTGGTTCCTGCTACCCAGGGAGCCCAGGGAGGGACCAGCTGGCCCAGTCAGGGAGTATAGCAGCGGCTGTGTAAGGACCTTTCTTTCCTCGCTGGGGCTCTAGATGCAAGTCTGCCTGCCACCTCCGTAGCTGCTGTTCACCCAGGCACTGCCAGCCATGTCTCACCTGCTGTGTCATAGATGGGGAGGAGTTTACACCTGGAGTGAAGCAGGGTTGACTCATCCAGCCCCTATTTTCCACATGGAAAACTTTTGTAGCAGGGAAAATGCTGGTTTCCTAGCCCACAGGCCAGGGTATTATGCTGTGTCACTGTATGGACCCACACTCACTTGATAGCAGAAACTTTGTGGCTCTTACCCCAGACACACTCCCCTGTGAACTGAATTTTATCAGGATCTTAGAACTGGGAGGGGCCTCTGAACTCATTTAACCTAACTTCCCCATGGAGGAAATTCCTTTCACAGCGTTCAGGCCAATAGGTCTGTGAGCCTTTTTACCACTCAAGGTAGCTTACTCACTAGTGGTCAGGTACTATGGCTGGAAAGCAGGCTTTATAATGAGTTGAAATCCCCCAGTGTGAAACTTGCCCCCCATGATTCCATTTCTTTGTGATTCCGAAGCCACCTGAGAGTGAAGCCCAGGGGGTTCTCTCAGTGTTTAAGGATGATGGCAGCACACATGGGGAATTGAGTCAGTGTGGGCCACGGTAGGAACAGCAGCCAGATGGCTTGATTCGCTCTCCACTGTGAGTTTCTGTGGTGTTGGAGACCCTAACAGCACAGTCACCTTCAGTTTGGGTGGTGGAGATTCCTTCAGCTCAAGAGTCAGTGAGGTACAGTGGGATCAGTGAGTTTGGAAACATACTGCTGAGTGGATAATGTGGACTTTTAGGAGCTGCGTGGTTCTGAGCTTCTTGCTTAACCTCTCTGACTTTCAGTTTCTTCTTCTGATGGTTCCCCAAGGTAATGTGTGAAACCCCTGATATTCTAAGATGCTGTGAGCAGAGCTCTTATTGTTGGTATTTGTGGCGGGAAGGAAGCCTGGGGACTCACTGAAAGCCCCTTTCATTAAATGCCATGTGCTGACCTCTCCACTTGTCATCTCTCTAGCACTTCAGTGGGAAGTTTCCCATCAGGGGAGAGCAGCGATCAGGGCCCCCGGACACCCACCCAGCCCCTGTTGGATTCCAGTTTCCGCTCCGGCAGCCTGGGCCAGCCCAGCCCTGTGGCCCAGAGAAGTTACCAGAGCCCTTCTCCTCTCCCCACCGTGGGTAGCAGCTACAGCAGCCCTGACTACTCTCTTCAGCAATTCAACTCCTCTCCGGAGAGCCAGGCCCGGCCTCAGCACAGCGTGGCCAGCGTCCACATGGTGCCAGGGAGCCCCCAGGCCCGCCACAGGACAGTGGGCACCAACACTCCCCCTAGTCCTGGTTTTGGCCGGCGAGCCATCAACCCTGGCATGACTGCCCCTGGCAGTCCTGGTTTGAGCCACCGCCAAGTGATGGGTCCATCAGGCCCTGGTTTCCATGGCAATGCAGTTTCCAGCCACCCGAGCAGTGCAGCATCGACACCAGGGAGCCCCAGCCTGGGCCGGCATCTCGGAGCCCACCAAGGCAGCCTGGCCCCCAGTGTCCATGGCAATGCAGTAGCCAGCCCTGGAAGCCCCAGCCTGGGCCGTCACCTGGGAGGGTCCGGATCTGTGGTTCCTGGCAGCCCCAGCTTGGACCGGCATGTGGCCTATGGTGGCTACTCTACTCCTGAGGACCGGAGACCCACACTCTCCCGGCAGAGCAGTGCCTCTGGCTACCAGGCTCCTTCCACACCTTCCTTCCCCGTCTCTCCTGCCTACTACCCTGGCCTGAGTAGCCCTGGCACCTCACCTTCACCAGATCCTGCAGCCTTCCGCCAAGGGAGCCCAACCCCAGCCCTACCAGAGAAGCGGAGGATGTCAGTGGGAGACCGGGCTGGCAGCCTCCCCAACTACGCCACCGTCAATGGGAAGGTGTCCTCCTCGCCCGTCGCCAGTGGCATGTCCAGTCCCAGTGGGGGCAGCACGGTCTCCTTCTCCCACACTCTGCCCGACTTCTCCAAGTACTCCATGCCAGGTAGAACTCTCCTCCTGCCCTTGTCCCCTCTTTTATTGACAGATCAGCCTGAGTTAGGACTTCTGTCCTGACCACCCTTGGCAGAGGACTTCAGGGGAGTCGCTGACTTCTGGGCCTCAGTTTCCTTGTCGGTGTAATAGGAGTTGGAGGGTGTCTTCAGAATGTGGCTGTGAATGTGGGTGCTGTGGTGAGGATGTGAGTGAGGGTGAAGGTAATGAAAATAATAATAGCATAACCATTGTCCCGACCAGCACTGTCACAGCTGTTTGTTGGGCGCCTGTTACACGGCAGCCTCAGAGCTAAGTACCATCCTCATGCCTTCCTTAATCCTCATGCCTCCCTCATAAAGTAGGAGCAAGCTGTAGGAGCAAGCTGAGGCTTCCAGAGGCTTTGTCATTTGTCCAGAATCACACAGTTAATGAGTGGTAGAGCTAGGTTTCCAGTCCAGGTCCACACTACCCCAAAACCAGTGCTCTTAAAGCATTAGTAGATTATCTTTATTATATGTCCATATATTTCTTTTCTGGAACTGGAGATTGAGCTTTTGTGCTGAGCTATATCCTCAGTCCTTTTCTGTTTTTTATTTTGAGGCACCATCTAGCTAAGTTGTCCACTGTGGGCTTAAACTTGAGTTCCTCCTGCCTCAGGTTCCCAGAGTGCTGGGATTACAGGCTCGCTTCACTGTGCCTGACTGTGTGTCCTTATCACGAGGGCTGTTGTGACATAGCATAATTTCACAAACGTGCCTTCTGAACACGGCCTCTATGCCTTTTGCTAGACCCCACTGTGCACCTCAGTGATAGTAGGTCTGGCTACCAGATGTGACATGGGTCATGGCTGGGGGTTGGACGTTTTCTGAGAGCCCACAGCCTCTCGACTTCCTGGAAGCCCATGCGAGTTTGCACAGTGAGCTCTTCAGCCAGGACTTGGCACCTTCACCTCTGCCCTAGAGCATTCATTATATAAAATCAGAGAGGTCAGGGCTTTGGGTCTCCCTCAGCTTCTCAAGCTGCCCTCTGCTCTGACTGTGTGCAGAGTGGCCCTGAGGCTCCGCATGTGTGGGGCAGATGTAAAGTGTCCCAGGCAGTCTTGAAAGGGGCTGGCCACCCAGCTTCTCCCCATGCTGTTCCCCAGTCCTGCCCTAAGCCTGCCGCATCCGGACACCTAGGGTGACCTTGCACCCCCCTGCTTCCTGCCGCCTACTGGGGACATCTGGTTCCCAGCCCCTCTCCTTGAAGGATGCAAAACTTCTAGTAGTTGGGACGTTTCCTGTTTCCCACCATCTTCCCTGCTTAAAATAGCCTTTGGAATCAACATAGGAAGGCACTCGGGACTGCGGCCGCCTCTGAAAGCTCGTTAAAAGGGCAGATGGCGGCAGGGGCTGGGGCTGCAGAACAGGGACAAGTAGCCTGCAGCCCTCGCATGGCCCAGCTGCCTCGCCCAGTGGAGGAGCTGATCTCTCCCCCTCCTCCCCAGCCTCCACAGACTGAACCCAGAACCTGAGGATGGGAAACCACGGAGGAAATGGATGGAGCCCTGGAAATGGGTCTCCCGGTCAGCTCCCCACCTCAGCAACATCCTTGGCAAAGGCCTCCCCCCAGCTCCAGTCTCTTCCCAAACACTGGGGAGGAAAAATGTGGAATGGAATATTCCTTTTTCCCTCTTCCTCCTCCTCTTCCCTCAGGCCCTTTTTATTTATTTATTTTGTTTTGTTTTTTTGTCTTTTCTTCCGGTACCAGGAATCGAACTCACGACCTTGCGCTTGCCAGGCAAGCGCTTTGCCACTGAGCTAAATCCCTAGCCCTCAGGCCCTTTTTATTTATTTATTTTGTTTTGTTTTTTTGTCTTTTCTTCCGGTACCAGGAATCGAACTCACGACCTTGCGCTTGCCAGGCAAGCGCTTTGCCACTGAGCTAAATCCCTAGCCCTCAGGCCCTTTTTATTTTCTTTGTGACAAAAGATAAAGGAGCACAGACAGGAGGAACAAGCCCTAGCGCTCTGTAGTGCAGCGTGGGGACTGCGGTTGACAGTAACCTGTTATATGTGTTATGTGCAGCTACACAGACTCAAGATTCTAGGCCAGCTTTTCTTTGTGTGTCCCAGGGCAGTAGGGACTTTTTGCCTTCCATGATGCGGGACACCAGCTTTGGGAAAGGCCAGGGCAGGGCAGGGCAGGGATGAGTCTTTCTGCTCTCGTCCTCTCAGCTGTTGTGCTGTGGTTGGGGAAAGGGGCCAGGGAGGGTGTCTTAGCCTGCAGCAAAGAAGCTGTGGGACGACTACTCCAGAATCTTCTGGAAGAAGAGGACAAGGTGGGGGAAGGCTGCTGGTTGGCTCAGTGAGAATGTCAGGCCAGCCCTTCAGCAGCACGGCAGCTCACCACCACGGATGGTTGGCAGGAGGCAGGGGTGAGAAGACCGCTTCCTCCCATTACTCAGCAGTGTTGGAGGACACTAGCTTTCTCTGTTGGTTTCCTGGGGCTGCATAACAAAGTACCACACACTTGGCTCTTAAAGCTACAGCCGTGGATTCTGTCATAGGAATGGAAGTGAGGGGTCCAAAGTTCAGGTTTTGGCAGTTGGTTCCTTGTGGAGCTTCCAGGGGAGAGTCTGTTCTAGGCCTGTTCCCAGGCTCCTCCTGTGGTGGGTCATCCTTGGTGTCCTTTGGCTTGTGGATGTGTCAGCCCATCTTTGCCTCTGCTTTCACATGGTGCTGTCCTTGTGTCCCTTTTTTTAAGGACTCTAGTCTCAGTGACTCAGGGCTCACCCTAACCCAGCACAATTTTATCTTCACTTATTGACATCTGCAAAATTTGATGACCATATTTCCAAAGAAGGCCACATTCATAAGTCTTAGGTGTTCTTCAGTGTATCTCTTTGGGGAACACAATTCAACCCATAACACTTCCCTTTCTTCTTCTCCTTTAGATAACAGCCCGGAGACACGGGCTAAAGTGAAATTTGTCCAGGACACTTCCAAGTATTGGTATAAGCCTGAGATCTCCAGAGAGCAGGGTGAGTGCTGGATGTACTGGGGAATCTGTGGTCCCTCATGGCTGCTGCCCGCCATGTCTGCCTAGGACAACAAACAGAATGGACATGTTCCTTTTTGCGTAGGTGCTGGTCACAGAGAGGCGGGTGGGATAAAGTCAGACAGTAAGAAGCACTTCCTCTGGAAAAGGGGGATGGCAGAAACAGTGGTTGTGGATGCTCCTTGGAAGGATCCAGGAAAGCCATGGTTTCCTTAGGAAGGAAAAGGATCAGCCAAGATAATAGGAAGCTTTAGTGCTCTTAGCTCTATGAGAGAAGGTTGCATTTTACAGAAGAAAAATACTGAAGTTGGAAATACTGCAAATGGAGAGGAAGTCCGTGTCAGGGTCTCAAGGAAAGTCTGGGTATGAGAGGAAGTCCATGTCAGGGTCTCAAGGAAAGTCTGGGTATGAAGCTTCACCTGAAGCTGTTTGGGTTTGTCCCAATAAAGTTTTATTGGGACACAGACACATCTGTCTATGTGCCTTCTGACTGTGTCCTACCACTGAGGTAAGCTTCAGTAGTAGCAACAGACTGCATGGCCTGCAGAGCCTAAAATATTTAATGTATGGACACTTACAGAAAAAATCTGTCCATGTTGGTACAGGATGACATTCAAGACCATCACCTGAGAGAATGAAGTTTGGTAGGCCCTGTAGGACTTAGGCAAAGCCAGTGTCCTCAATTGCTTATTTCTTCTTCTTTCTGTGTCTCCTCCCAATTCAGCCATCGCGCTCCTCAAGGATCAGGAGCCAGGGGCCTTCATCATCCGTGACAGTCACTCCTTCCGAGGGGCCTATGGGCTGGCCATGAAGGTGTCTTCACCGCCTCCAACCATCATGCAGCAGAATAAAAAAGGTGCCTGGGACATTAACATCTCAATCCCGGGTGCTAGGTGTAGGTGCCAAGGGTGTAGGTGCCAAGCATGAGGCCAACTCTGACGGGATCTGGCCCCTTATAAGTGTGACTTTTGTGAAGAGCGAGTCTAGGGCTTGCGAAGGTGGTGTCAGAGAACAGGGAAGCAGGGTCACCGGGGCTGTGGTGGTTTCCTGGAGGGATTGGAGAGGAGTGAGTGGCTGTCTATCTTGCAGGGTTCTGGCTATCTTGTCTCTGTGACACTTCCTCCCATCCTGTCCCTACAGCCTGCAGAAGTTGGGAAGCAGTGCTGGGAGCTGGGTGGAGGGTGCCGTGAGACTAAAGTGACCAACTTTTTCTTCCCTTTCACTGAAGGAGACATGACCCACGAGCTGGTGCGGCACTTCCTAATAGAGACTGGCCCCAGGGGCGTCAAGCTCAAGGGCTGCCCCAACGAACCAAACTTCGGTGAGCTACTCCTGCCTCTGTCACTGTGGTCTGGCTGCAGTCTCAACCCTGTCCCGGGGGCCCTTGGGTCTGCCCAGGTTCATGGGCTCTGCTAGTCTCGTGCATCACAGACTTGGCAGCAAAGAGGAGCAGTGGCTTTCCTCCCTCTGAACAGCGGCTCCTTGATCCACTAGCTTCCTTTCTATGTTGTCTTGCCCCACTGAGACCGATCATAACTGTAATTAGAACAACCGTCACAACATCTGCCCTTACTGCCCACCACTGTGTGGCACTCACCATCTAGCTGCCTTGTACCAATTCAGATCTCACAATATTCCTGCGCGGTAAATGTCACTGTCCTCAATTTGCACGCAAGGAAACTTAGGCTTAGCCAAGAACACATAGGTAGTAAGGGACTGAGCTGGGATTTGACTCCACAATTTTCTCTCACTTCTGCTGTCCTGTTCTGAGAGGGCCCCTGCTAACTGGAGGGACTTTGGAGAGATGTGTGTGCGGGGGACTTCCTGTACAGGAAAGTTTTAGGCTGCCTTGTGACTTCCAGAATGAACTTAGGAATCTTCTTCCTTGGATAAAAGGAAGTGAGTTTTCAAGCTGTGTTAGAGGGCTGAGAGGTAATAAAAACCTGAGGGCTAGAGATGTAGTGCAGTGGAAGAGCACTTCTGCAGCTTGCTCTGGGCTTAGATTTGAACTCCAGTTCGGCAATAATAAAATGAAAGATGCTGCGTGGTGGGGCAGGGTGTGGTTGCTACTTCTCTTCGCCTGCTCAGCCCCTGAAAGGCTGTCTCACCCCTGCAGGCTCCCTGTCTGCCCTGGTCTACCAGCACTCCATCATCCCGCTGGCTCTGCCCTGCAAGCTGGTCATCCCAAACAGAGGTAGGTCACGAGACTGCTCCTGCTGCACGTCCTTGACCTGCCTGCTTCCGGTCCCGGCCCTGCCAGTTACTCCAGGATGTGGGCCAGGGTTGAAGGACACCTGTCATCTTCCCAATATGGGAAACTCAAAACCACTCTCTTTTTTTTTTCCTTATTGAAAAAGAAGGAAAAGTTCATTTAAAAAATTGGCTCCAGAAGCATACACAAATTACCTTTCCAGATTGTTCTAGAAAATGCTGTGGTGGCTTCAAGAAATTCCTACTGAGTTCACAGAAAAAAAGCCTCCTCCTAGGGGAGGCCTGAGAAGTAGGAGATATTCTTGAGGTTGATGTGAAGCCTCTAATATTAATTGATAATCGCTATCCAGTTCATTGAATTATTGGTAATAACTGACTAACATTATTAGTTTAAAGTTCAGATACATCTGATATAACATTATTAACCACACAATGTTGACACTAATTAAATTATATTTTAATGGAATTTACTGTAGTAGTTTAGTAGCTACAAAATTTTGTATTTAAGTTGTATAAACCAGCAGTTCTGCAAGTGTGGTCCTTGGTTCAGCAGCATCAGTGGTGTTGCTGAGAAAAATATTCTCAGACTCTTCATCAGAAACTCTGGCTTGTACCCAGCAATCTGTTTTAACAAGTCTTCACACCAAAGTATAAGATGCACTGGTATAGATAAGAGTTGTTTCTTATTCTTATTTTTTTCTGTTTCTTTTTAGAAACATTTTTATTAAAGTATAGGTGAAATAAAAATTACACTATGTACAATGTCTAATGTGTTTTGACATATGTACACACTGTGAAATGATAAAATCAAGCTACTTAACCTATATGTCACTCAATTCTTTTTTATTTTCATTTTTTTATTTTTTGAGACAGGGTCTGACTATGTGGTTCAGGCTGGCCTGGAATTCACTATGTAGCCCAGGCTGGCCTTGAACTCATGGTGCTCCCCCTGCCTCAGCCTACCAAGTGCTGAGATAACAGGCATGTTACTCAATTCTTGTTAACCTGGGGATGATTCTGGTATTGTGTTGGTGGTTTAATGAATGAGGGCATACGTTCATCTACACAAACACACATCAGTACAAAACCACAGCAGCAACACCAGCTGCTGAAGCTTGAAGGCTTGTTGTTTGTCAAGCACTGGGATTAACACTGTAAATGGAATATCTCAAAAATGCAGTGACGTGGGCACCCCTGTCGTCATCCGCATTTTATAGACACTTAGCAGGTGCTGAGGGGTGAGGTTTGAGCCCAGCTCCGCTGGATTCCAGAGCTCTGCATCAGTGTGCTGAGTGCCTCCAGCGGCCGTTGACCACTCGGACTGTATGTAACCCCGGTGCCGACTGCCAGGACCTGCGAGGAAAAGCAATATTCAGTACACAGTGTACTGCAGAGCTCTCTAGAGAACTAGCCAAATGCACGCTTCTTTCCAGTTCTAGGGATTTAATTACTAGCTGGATTTTTGTCTCAGACCCTACAGATGAATCAAAAGATAGCTCGGGCTCTGCCAACTCAACCGCTGACCTGCTGAAGCAAGGAGCCGGTGAGTGGTCACCTGAGACTGGGTCCCTGCCCTGTCCCCTCCTGCCACAGCAGGTTGGAAGTCTCTGCCCAGCCAAATGTCTCAAGGCAGATCACATTTCTATGTGCAGATGCTTTGGCTGAAGGCTGGCCTGAAATTCATCTGCTACCTTCTCCCTGAAGCAGGGTTGTGGGGTATCGTCCCCTCCCCATGCCAGCCACACAGTTTCTCTTTGGTTTGGTTTCCTCTAGCCTGTAATGTGCTCTTCGTCAACTCTGTGGATATGGAGTCACTCACCGGGCCGCAGGCCATCTCGAAAGCCATATCGGAGACGTTGGCTGCTGACCCCACGCCAGCTGCCACCATTGTTCATTTCAAAGTCTCTGCCCAGGGAATCACACTGACTGACAACCAGAGAAAGTAAGCCTCTTCCCTGGGCTTCTCTGTTGGGCTCTCCATGCTGTAGCCCCGCTACCCACGCAATTACCAACAGATTTATCTCTTGTACCTATCTTCCTGTTACCCTCCTGTACCATGTATCTTACATCCATTCTTCTAACAAGCTCATCTGCCCATCTGTCCACCCATCCACCCATCCACCCATCCATCCACCCATCGACCCACCCATCGACCCACCCATCCACCCATCCACCCATCCATCCACCCATCCACCCACCCATCCACCCATCCACCCATCCACCCATCCACCCATCCATCCACCCATCCACCCACCCATCCACCCATCCATCTATCCACCCACCCATCCATCCACCCATCCATCCATCCATCCATCCGTCAGTTCATCCATCCATTTTCACATCCACTCACCAGTTGACCTGTCCACCCACCTGTACCCATTCATCCCCCACTGTTCTCCTCACCCATTTATCCTTTCATCCATCCATCCTGCAGAGGTTTGCTTGCACTGGGTATTCAGCCACAGATACAACTGATAAAAGGCCCCTGCTTTCTAGGAGCGGAGTTCTTCTTGGCCTCCTAACCATGTTCCCAGCTGAGTTGCTTCTTCCTCCAGGGAACCCCTATTTCTCATTCCTTAGCATTGGTTTTTTTTCCCCAGCAATTGAGACACATTTCTGTGGCATATGTAACTGTCCCTGTCCATTGTTCAGGTCCCCAGGGGTCATGGCTCAAGCCATTTTGTTCATAAGCAACAGGGAGGTGTGTGGACCAACCACAAGTGCAGATGGTGGAAGGGTGGCCTGGCCTGCAGAGAGAATGTGGGAAAACAGTCACTCTGGCACTCATTCTGTGTTTACGCTGCAGGCTCTTCTTCAGGCGACACTACCCGCTCAACACTGTCACCTTCTGTGACCTGGACCCACAGGAAAGAAAGTAAGCCTCCTTAGACCCCTTCCCCGCCCCCCAGCTCTGTCTCACCAGCTTGTGCATCTGTGCGTGTGCGTGCATATGTGCTTGGTTTGGTGTGAAGATGCTCACGTGTCTGGGGGTGCGGGGAGTGTGGGTCACTGTGCTGGGCGTCCTTCTCTGCCTTCCAGCCACAGAGACCCATTTCCACCCCTCTGCGTGTGCCTGATCCTCAGTCTGTTTCTGTTTCCGCACCCGGAAGGCACTATCTTCTGTCTCTCAGAAGAGGAGCTCCTCTGCCTTCCCAGAAGTCTGGGCTGGGCAGACAGGGCTTTGGGGAGAGGTGCAGTGGTCCACCCTGACCATCTTTTTCTCCACAGGTGGATGAAGACAGAGGGAGGTGCCCCTGCCAAGTAAGTGTGGCTTCTCCCCCCAGCCAGCTGACTGGGGCAGGGGACGGGCTGAGAAGGGCAGGAGGGATCTTTCTGCCAAGGTCACTGAGTTTGGAGAAAGAGAGTACTACCCACATCTGTGGCGGTGTTCACAGGGGAGTGTGTCTAGGCAGGGACAGAGTTGGGAAGGTTTGGAGAAAGAACAAAGAGAGACTGTTTTAGGGGAGGGCGGTGACATGACCAGGCTGCAAGCCCCCCAGAGGTAGGGTGGGTCTGTCACGGGTAGGTGCAGCTAATGAACAGTTGTTGAATAAAGAAATAAGAAAACAGATAAATTGGGTGTGGTGGCACCTGCTTGTAATCTCAGCACTTGGGAGGCTGAGATAGGAGGATAGCTGTGAGTTTGAGACCAGCCTGGGTTACACAGTGAGTTTGAGGCCAACCTGGACTACTTAGTGAGACCCTGTCTCAAAAAGACAAAAAAGAAAGAGAAGAGAACAGAGGCAGGGAGGAGGCAGTGAAGAGCTGGAAGTGGGCAGAGTGGGACCGCTTTGGGGGAGAATGGATGGGCCTGGCAGTGATCTGGGCACAATCAACAGTGGGGGCTCCAGGGAGGCTGCTTGGGAGGAAGGCGGGCGCCCTCAGCGATCCTCAGCTATCAGAGTATCATCAGGAACTCTGAGTCCCTGAAGCTCCCTCCTTGTGTCCCTTCCAGCCTGCCGGGCAGGCCACAGCTTGCAGAGAGGGCAGGTGGCAGAGTGAGGCGGGCACAGCTGGCCAGGTCTCCCTCCAGCGGGAGGCTTGGGGATGCCCCTTCCCTGCCTGGACATCTGTGCAACACCACAGTCCTAGCCAGCCTGGAAAGGAGGTGCCGAGGGCCGCGCCGAGACCCACTTCCCCTCCAGCTGGGTATCACCCAGCCTTCGGCCCGTCATGCCCAGCCCAGAAACAGAGCTGGCAGAGCAGAGCTGTAGGAAGTACAGGGCTGTGTGTGTGTGTGTGACAAGTTTGTGTGTGATACATGTGTGTGTGCTGTGTATATATGTGGTACGTGCAACTGTGGGTTGTGTGTGTGCTGTGTATATATGTGGTATGTGCAACTGTGGGTTATGTGTGTGCTGTGTTGTAGGTGTGATGCGTGAAAGTGTGTGTGCATACGTGCTATGTGTGTGTGTAATGTGGCTGTTGTTTGTGTGTGTCATATGTGCAAGTAAGTGTGTAGGTATTTGTGTGGCATACGCACATGTATGTGGGGGTGCAGTGTGCATATGTTTGTGGAGTTATGTGAGTGTGGTGTGTGCACCTCTGTGTGTTCACACTCACACACGCATACACACATACCGGGCAGCAGAACCAGCCTTGCTAATCTTAGCTCCGTCTGTCCCAGGCAGAGGGTTCCATTGGAATCTCCAGCTGTCCCGCTGTCCCATCCTGCTCTAATTAGCAACATGCCGGCCGGGAGGGAGAGGCCTGTGCTCACATTCTGTTCTCTGCCCTCATATTTTTAACTCTGTTTTGCAAGGAGAGAACTCTAGGTCACTCTAGTCTCTGTGCGGGAGGGGCAAAGGCACAGGTATGGGGTCCCTCCCTCCCGTTCTCTGGGTTTCTCGCCCCATGAGCCCCGGAGGAGTGTGTATGTGTGTGTGTGTGTGTGTGTGTGTGCGTGTGTGTAGGGCAGGGGCCCTGCCTGTTCTGCTGCGCTGATCCTGAGAGCTGAGGTGTCTGTGGCGGTCGCCTCTGCCTGGCAGGCCTCAGGCAGCTCTGTTTCTATGCTGTGTTGGATGCGGGACCAGCCAGGGCGGGTGGGGCGGGGAAGGGTTGAGGCGTCTAGGAATGTTCCCGATTTATTTCTGGCCTCATCCCCACCCTGCTCACCAGTGTCCCATTCACCCCCAGCCGCCCCTCCCACCCCTTAGAGGGGAACTTTTGCTGCCCTGAAACACAAAGAGAGACACTGTCCCCAGGACTGGGCTTCGCTGCAGTGGGGCAGAGAGGCTCCCACCAGCCCCAGTCCCTCATGCTTGGAGGGCTGCAGGGCTGGGGGCAGGTTGGCCCACCTGGGCTGCTCTCCTAGCAGAGGCCCACGTAGCCTACCCACACCTCAAGCCTGTCTCCCTTCCCTGCCCCTGCAGGCTCTTTGGCTTCGTTGCCCGGAAGCAGGGTAGCACCACGGACAACGCCTGCCACCTCTTTGCTGAGCTTGACCCCAACCAGCCTGCCTCTGCCATCGTCAACTTTGTCTCCAAGGTCATGCTGAGTGCTGGCCAGAAGAGATGAATGCCCAGACCCCTTGCCCAGGCCAGGGCAGTTGGGAGGGGACCCGTGAATCCTGACCACCTTGAACCCAGAAGGAGGACTTTGGACCAATTTTTGAGGAGAGAAGAAAGTGCATCATGGGGAGAGGGAAGTGAATTGTGGAGGGGAGGGGGAGAAAGAGAAAGAAAGAAAAGATGGAGGAGAAGAACTCAGATTCCCCTGGGTAGATGGAAACTGCAAAATCCAAAGCCTCCCAAACTAGCCAGGTCCCCTTGCTCTCCCTGCCCCTCTGAGAGAAAGGATTTCTCAGAGTGCACCAACAGGCCTCCTTGGGATCCATATTTTGGGGCAGAGGGATAGAAGATCTGTGTCCCTGACCACCCTGCTTTGTGAGGAGAAATCGAGCTAAGAGAAATCCTAAGAGAAGCAGGTAGCTTCCTAAGCCAAACGGCCAGCGGCAGATGGGAAGTGGTGGAACTTTGCTTTCTGCAAGTATCTCAGACCAGACACCTCCGTTCTGAGCCAGGCCTCTGCTGTATGATTTTGTGGGTGCATAGACATCCCCACCCACATCCTCACACACTGATTTCTATCTGCTCCTGTCCGCTAGAATCACAAACAGCTCTACTGCTGTGTGTCACTTGGGTCCGTGGCACATGTGCATAAGACCCAAAGGTTAGGCTGGGGGTAACAGACGTCAAGGAGGTGACAGCAGCCCTGTCTTGCAGGAGCACCCAGGATGATGAGTCCTAGTCCCCACACCTGCCCTCTAGAGGCCTTGAGTGCCACCAGCCCGTTCTTTTATGCAGAGACCCTGTAGAAGGGGCTGACCTGCTGTACAGCATTGCCCACCCCATTCTGTCTCAATGGGGAGCATTGGTTTGAGGCAGAGGAGACCCAGGTGTCTGTAGTCTTGGGAAGAGACCCATCAGGAAGGGTGACCACTGAGCTCTGGCATCTTTCCCCGCAGTGTGTGAGCTGGATGAGCTGTCCAGCCAGGGCCTGGGACCTGCCTTACTCCCAGCTGTCTGCCGTTCCTGGGCTTGGAGCCCTAGCACCAGCCTTATCTCAGATTTACTCACCTGCATGATTTTTTTTTGTGGGGGGGCTAGTGATGCAGCCTTCCGGATCTTCCCTGCTCTGCTCTGTCCTGCAGGGTCCTCACTTTGGGGCCCACCTTGGGAAGCCTGCTTCCTAAAGCCCTGCTCACCAAGGGAGAAGCCTGTCACCCGTGCCTCCACTCTGTAAATATTTTGGGGTTTGACCATTGCAGGCACCCTTTTGGCTGGGCTATCGAAGCCAACACCAGAGAGCTCCCAAGACTGCTAGCAGAGCCCCACATAGCCTACCCACAATGCCAAAGCCTTGCTGTTTCCCCTTCTGCCTTGGGTTCCCCCACGGAGCCATGGTGTCCCAACAACAGAGGGCAGTGTGTACATTTAGCCCAAAGGGCCTAGGGTCCATTTGGACAGTTGGGAACCCCCCTAGCCACCTCCCAAGCCCTCTAAACCAGAAGGAAAATTGATCAGGACTTCATTCTTAAGCCTACAGGGGTCCCCTAGGAACAGGCATTGTACTGATATATAAATATATATAATATATACATGAGACATACTGACAGAATCTGTAAGCTAATAAAATATAACAAAAGGTTAAAAAAAAGAATAGGTAAATTGACAGGAAGTATTTATTGTGTTCCCATATTGCTTTATGGCCTCCCTGGGCATAAACCAGTTCCTGTCCCTTTTTTATGTGTAAGTAGAGCCTGGAATACAGGGCCCTTTATCCTTGGAGGAGCCAGTGGTTTCCTTGCCAGGGCCTTGGCCTTCCTTAGGCTACATCTGGGGCTCAGTGGCATGGGGTGCACATGCTCCACCCCCATGTGCCCTTGTTTTCTGGCAAGCCAGGGGCCAGTGGGCAGCTCCCTGGGTGTCTGGGGAGCCCCCCTTCGCCAGGGGCCTAGCAAGTGTGTGAGTCTGTTTGGACACGGGAGTGTGTGGCCACTGGTGTGCGCTTCTCTTGTGCTGTTTCCTCCTCTAGGGAACTATGTCCATGTGGATCTTATGTTTCAGGGAGCTGGAAAGGAGAGTGTCTGCTTGGTAGGGAGCGGGGTCAGAGGCCCCACTGGCCCTCACTTCCCAAAGGGTGAAACCTTGGGCTTAGTGATCGAGGTCCTTCCAAAGTGCCCTTCCTTCTGAGATTTTCAAGCCAGATGCCTGGATTAGCCCCTCTCCTTCTTCCCTAGTAAGGAGTAAACCCCAGTCCTGTTCCAAGGTAGAAGGAGACACTCCTTGTCCTCTTTCTTTGTAAATACCCTGTCTCCCTGTACATCCTGTGGGGCTCCTCTGGGTTGGGGCGTCCTCTCCACACTCAAGGCCGGGCTGAGCATCAGGCTTACTAGCAGTCTGACCCGAGCCCAGGACTGAGTCAGCCTGCACCCTTACTTTCCCACCTGCCACCCACCTCTGAGTGTGCAGCCCATGCACTCCAGCTGGAGCCCTGGAGCTGTGGGTGAGCCGCGGGAAGGACCAGGTCTGCACTGGCCAACTGATCACTCGCTCCCAGCAGACCTCTGGATGGCCTTTCCAAAAGGAGATGGGAAGGGACCCAAGTCTCCACAGTGGCCCCACTTGGTGGGGAGCATACTAGCCTGCTTCCCTTCCCTGTCCTGTGTTTCACAAGTAGGCCTGTGCACACACACGCACACCACTCTGCATTGCAGTCTATTCTTGCCAAAGATTTCCTTTTTAAACAAAGCACTTTTACTCGTTATTTTGTAAATGTTTGCCCTCCCCTCTCTTGACCTCTTTTGCTGTTGTTTATTGTTGAGTCTGTTTGTCAGCAAGGAGAGTGCTGTCTGGTCTTGAACACGAGCTGGGATGGGAGAAGGTCTGGAGAATGAACAGAAGGAGTAGCGGACACGTGGCCTGCCCATGGTGCTGCGACCAGACCACAGGTCCCTGGGGCAGCCTAGGGCCTTGTCATCGCCGGTCTGTTCAGCTTTGGGAGGCAAGGGAAGGGACATCTGTAGTTCGGCTGGGCAAGGAGTGGGCCTGGGAAGGACCCTGTGGCTCTTCCCTCAGCAGGATGGGCTTGACCTGAGAACAAAGGAGCTGTGACCCTAGAGGGAGACAAGGAGAAAAAGGAGCTGTGTGCTCAGCTTCAAGGGTGACAGAGTGCCCCTCCTGCTGCCATGGAGTCCTGGTTCCCTCATCTGAGGGACAGATGTCGTGTTCTAGGATTGGAGAGGCTTTTTGACCCCTCACGGGTGACCGTGAAGGCCGTGGACAGTGACTGCAGGATTCCTTCTCTCCTGGCTTTTTGAGGATTCCTGGGGGGTGTTCAGGAGTAGCCAGGATAGTGGGACACTGTGGCTGTGTGTGGTCCCTCTCTAGCAGGGCTCCCGCAAGGGAGCAGGGATCCTTGTGCCGCACTCCGCTGGGTCTGGGCGGAGGTGAGGCAGACTCCTGCTATCCAGGGCAGGGAGAGGGGCCGGTGACTGTGACCGGAGTCCATCCTGCCCTGGGTTTTGTGCATCTTGCCTCACGGGCTTATCCTCCTCATCTGGTGTTTCCCAGCCTCAGGGCTTGAGGAGCTCTAGTAGGTAGCGTCCCACCGCTACCCCTCCCTTGGGGTCCTGCAGAGCTTGGGGGCAGAGTCTCAGTGCCACCTTCCTGCCCACGCCCAGGCCCTGGGACCCTGAGACTCACGTGTCCTTGTGCAGGGGTAACAGGATGTGTGTGTGTGCGCGCGTGCAAGTGTGGATGTGTGTGTGCAGATGTTTTGCTCATCTCTTTAGGAACTTAGGGGTTGGGGCATCAAGCTCAATACGACCCAGCCAGGAGAGAAGTCAGGAGGCAAGGCCTGTAGGGCCGCGGATCAGTGGGGTCTCCGTATTGAAGAAAGGATCAGCCATGCAGGGTGGGCTCAGGCAAGCTGTTCTTTCTTGTCCCCTCTCTCTTAAAATATCTGCAAGGCCGGAGGACCTGGCTCTGTTTGCCACACCCAGGCTCCTCCTAGCAGTGAGGGTCTTGTGCAGTGACATCCCAGTGTGTCCCCTTGTCAGTGTTAAACAGTGCGACACTCTCCATGTTTGTGGTCCAAGTGTGATAGCACATCTGGTGTGCATGCTGCCTTTCCACCTTTCCTCTTCTCCCTGACTTATCATCAAAACAAACGTAAGAGACTCCTTACACCACCGCCACTGCCCCGCCCCACCTCCCAGGCCCTTTTCGGGAGAAGCAGAACACCCCAGCATCCTCCCCTCCCTGGCTGTGTATTTATATAGATGGAAATATACTTTATATTTTGTATCATTGTGCCTATAACCTCCACCACCGTGTACAAACCCTGCCCTCTGCCTCTTGTCCTGGATATGAATGTACGCAGATGCCACCCACTCCTGTACAGCTGCTTGGTTTCTTTGCGATCCATTGTATGGCTTTATAAATGATAAAGTTAAAGGAAATCCATGCTGTTATCCAGCGTTGTTGTTTGGAGGAGGGTGCAAAGGGGGCCTCTCCCAGGAACCGGGTACGTGGGGCTTCAGTGGTCCCTTCTGGTCGGCTCACCCCAAATCCCCTTAGCAGCTTCATCACCGTCCAGGTCTGGTTCATGGCCACTCTGACTTATTTGCCTGGGCTTGTAGCTGCGAGAGAAACTCAAATTCACATAAGAAAAGAAAAGGAGGGAGGTTTCTGGGCCCAAGTGGCTGAGAAGTCCAGGCAGAGCCGGATGCAGACGCTTAAGTGGTGGGATCAGGAACTTGTCCCCGGCGCTGAGTTCTGAGGTGGCTGCACTCTTGGGCAGGCCTGGAGCGTACACTGCACCAGCGTGGCAGCCTCAGCACACAGCAGGACTTTTCTCCCCGAGTTCTCAGTAAGAACCCAGACAAATGTTCATTGGCTTTGAGGGTCCTGCCTGGCTCCGAACTCAATCCACTGCCTCTGGGGCCCTCTGTAGCCACAGGACGGAGACTGAGGGGCTGGATGATCCCCAAAGAGGTGATATCTGTCAGAGGAAAGAGGGGCAGAGGCTGTTCAGCAAAATTATGGGTGTCCATCAGGTGGGGTTCCTTGTACGCCGGGCACCTGGGCAAGCTCCTTGGAACTCAGGGAGTTGGGGTGTGGTCCCTGCTGGGAGATCCCAATGTTCAGGGACCCTGCACCAGTTCTGTGCGAGTTTATAGTGTGGCTGGGAGGGAGGATGGAGGATCAACATACACACTGGCCGCATAACCTGTGTCAGCAGAGCACGGTGTTACAGTTTGGCCTCCTTTGGGGTCTCAGCGCCTCTTTCCACTCAAAAATGATTGAGGGCTTTTGTGTAGATGGTTTCTACTTTATCTTCCCCATTGTATCAGCTAAAACCAAGAATACTGAAAAAACACTTAATACTTTGCTTCCACAGTAATAAACTCATAGATGTTAACTTTAACAATATTTTAATGAAAGATAGTGCTGTTTCCTCTGATGGAAGGGGCTGGGTGAGAAGGTTTTAAAGCCTCCTTGGTGTCAGCTTCTTTGAAGATAGCTGGACTCTGTCGTCTCCCTCTGTGTGGCCACATACGGTAGGTGCCCAAGACACTGTACGTGTCAGAGAAAATTCAAGGAAAGACAAATAGTGGCTTAATGTTATAAAAGGGCCCCAGGAAACAGGGTTTGGTTCATGACCTAAGGGACCCATCGGGACCAGGATCTGAGGCCGCCCCCCTTCGGACTGGCAGAGCTGCCCCCCTTGTCATCATGGTTCCAAGTGAGAGCTGGCATTCCTTGAACCCTGGGCAAGTGCCAGGATCTACACTGGGCCTTCGGTCTCTTTGCTCATGCACTGGCCTGTGAGGTAAGGCTCTCCCGGTCCTTTTCGTACAGATGAAGAAACTGAGGTTCAAGGAGGGTAAGCATGGCTCAGAGTCACAAAACTGGCCTCGGTGGCAGAGCCAAAGGATGAGCCCAAGTGTGCTAACTTCCGTCCGGGTCCTTTTTAGCTCAGGCCTCTTTCTCTGCTCTCAGGGGAGAGACAGGCAGTGGTGAGGGCTGCACAGAGTCCAGAGAGCTGCACGGCCCGATAGGCACACGTGGGCCGGCCCATGAGGCTGGCTTCCCAGAGAGCCGGCCATTGTTCCTGGGAGGATGACGGGAAGGTCAGGGGTTATCCTCCGATGCTGTCCAGTGGCAGAGGGATGTGCGGACCTCTGTGCTCTCCGCAGCCTGGGTGAGCGCGCACTTTGGTGTGGCAGTTGTGCAGGGTGTGAATGGAGCACAGTGTGCCAGAGGGAGGGGCAGGAGGGCCAAGAGACAGAGCATGGGGCAGGTTGGAAAGTACTAAAGGGTGGGCTGAGTGGATCAGCCTGAGGTCCAGCTCGGCACTGGGATTGTTCGCCTCACTCCCTGGTGACTGTGCAGCCAGGGCTGAGCACCAGAGGGAAGCACCTTTCTCAGGTGGAGTCTTTCATGAGTGTGCCCTGCACGGGCGGGAGGGAGGCCGTTGGAAGAAATCCTTCGGGCCTGCCGGACAGGTGCCGGCCCCGCTGCCAGCCCCTCCTCCTCGCCCCCCTGGTGGTAGGAAAATGCTGTCCTGCCCCTCCTGAGTGAGACCACTGGTATTTTAACAAGTTCCAGGCTCGCAGGGGGCCTCTGGCACCCCTCCTTCTGTATCCTTTGGGTGGAGAGGAGGGGAGGAGCTGGTGTCTCTCGGGGACCCACGCTCCAGGGGCAGCAGACCATGTGGGAGGATGAGCCTGGCAAATTCCAGCTGCAGGAGCTCTGGGGCGTCTCCTCATGGACATCGGAACTGGATCCTACCTTCGTCTTCTAAAGGACTGGATTTTCTGGGCTTTATTAGTTGGTGAGAATGACTATTTATTAGTACTTCAAGTTCCTAAGAAGTTCAGAACATGGAGCACGGGGCCCATTCTAAACAACAGCAATCTGATGTAGATCAAACACAGGTGTGTGCACTCACACGTGTAAATACACACATGTACACACACTGATATACACACAGATGCACACACAGACACAGGAAAACACATGCCCTCACACATGCACATACAGACACGGTACGCACAGACACACAGAGCAGCTTAGAGCACACCGAGCCCCCCCGCCGCATCGGCGGCCTCCTCATAGGCACCTCCTTTCCCGCCTTCCTCCGTGTACTCGGGTCCATCAGCTGAGTCAGGTGCAGGGATTCAGAGCAGGGCTTCTCCCACCGTGAGCTCGCCTGGCTGCACTAATTAGCAGACGCCAGCATCAAAGCCCCAGAGAGGGCACACACAGGCCTGGGTGCGGGCGAGGAAGGGCATCGGGGGAGGATTCTGCCTTCTGCCAGAGCCAGCGAGCTTGGCTTGAGGAGAGGAAGGGAGACCAGAGGCGAGGAGCTGTGTGGAAACAGAAGGGGTGGACTCCGCATCCCCTGCAGCCACTGGGCCTCCCATGGCTCCACGCTGGCCCTGGGCACAGGCTGGAAGGGCTGTCCAGGGTGGGCCCCACACACCGAGAAGAACCTCCTTTTGGGGGTATTAGGGATCGAATCTAGAGCCTTTGAGCTGAGCTATATCCCATGGGGGGGCGGAGGTCTTGCCAAATTGCTAAATTGTGCAGGTTGGTGCAAGCTTGTGATCCTACTGCCTCATCCTCCCATGGTGCTGGGATGACAGGCTCGGGCCACCACAGCCAGCTGGGGATAAGCTTCCCTGAAGGGTACTGGCCTCAGAGGAAGGCACAGGTGGGCTTGGTTCTGACCTCACAGGTACCTAGGGAAGGTGTTTTCTCTCTCTGTTTCTCATCTGTAGGATGGGGTCACTCCTACCATGCAGCTGAGGCCACACAGCACCAGCCGTGCAGCTCCAGTGCCTGTGGCCCTTTAGATCCCTAAGAAACTCATGCCTCCTTTCCTTTTCTGGTGACTCGGGCCTCTGGGGAGACCTGGCAGCAGAGAGGAGACGCGGCAGACAGCGGCCCCAACGATATTGATCTGTGCGCCTTCCAGCTCCAGACCACAGCGTTCCGGGGTGGTGGTACAGCCGCCTCCACGGCTCCAGCTTTTATGGGGCTTGAAAGATCATCTCTGGCCATCGAGACAGGATGTCCGGGAGCTGGGGCCCTCCTCTCGGCCTCTGCTGCCTCCCCTGATCCCAGCTCAGTGGGAACTTCCCACTCCCAGCCAAGTCCTGGGGAGCCAAGGGGACCTCCCCCAGCCCCACTTCCTCATTTGGGGATCTTATCTGACAGCACCTCTACCTCCCTCGGGGGATGCACGCTGGCCTGGGACATCAGGAGCAGGCCCATTTTTGGCAGGGCAGGAGCCTTTGAGGAGGACAAGAGACCAACAGGGAGAGACAGATCTCAGGTCATGGAGCTTCAAAATTCTTGAAGCCCTTAGGGCAACCCTGGGTAAGTCAACCTTTCAATGAATTAATTTAATAGCTATTTATTGAGCACTTGCTATGTGTAGGGTCAGTTTGCTTGCTCCTCTTGTGGCACTCTTGTTCTAAAACTTAGAAAGATGAAGAATGAGCAAATAAATAATTGCAGTGTGACAAGCCCACCCGAGCAAAGATACATGGAGCAGCAATGAATCCGAGTAGCCTAGGACAGCAGAGGTGGCACCCTTTAGAAAGTGACATGTTGCTAGTGTTAGAGCCCAAAGGGTAAACAGGAGTCTACTGGACAGAGAGGGACACTGGGCCGTGTTTCAAGCAGGGGGACAGCACATGCCAAGGGCTAGGGGCAGGAGGGCTTGGCGTGTTTGAGGCACATGACCTGCCTTGGGAAGCAGGCTTTACTGGTGTAACTTGCATTCACTCAAAGGCAAGACAGAATAGTGGCTAAAGGCACGGGCTGTGCTGTCACACTGCCCGAGTTCAAATTCTGGCTCCATCGCTGCTCGCCGTGTGGAATTCAGCAAGTTGCTTGGCCTTGCTGTGCTGGCTTCCATGTTTGTAAATATGAGATGCTAATAGGCATGCCTAATGGAGGATAATTTTAGGAAGTGAAAACTTACACCTGTGAAAACAGCTCAGCCAAGCCCCTGGCCAATAGGAAGCGCTCTGTAAATATTATCGATGCTTATTATGGGTTTATTGGACCTTTTCTCTCTCCCTTACTTGCTGGAAAAGTCCCCAGAAGCAAAGACTTCCATGTGCACCTGCAGGGCAGCACTGTGTCTGGTGTGTAGGAAGCCCTCTGCCCATGAGTGTGGCCGGAGCAAGGTGACTGAGAGGCCAGCGTGGCCACAGAGAGTGGCGAGGGTAGGCCTGAGGGGTGGCGGGCTGTGAGGGGACCCAGGACATGTTTGAAGGTCCTGAGCCATGGGACGGTGGGTCAGGCTGGTATTTTGTAAAGATAGCCACACTGTCTGTTTCAGCGTGCACTGAACTGCAACTCTGCATCAGATATCTTGGGTGTTTTACTAAATATGATTGCGTTTGTCTCATGAAACGATCATGGGGAATAGGTTTGCAGCTAAG